AGAGAGAGAGAGAGAGAGAGAGAGAGAGAGAGAGAGAGAGAGAGAGATAAAGAGAAAAACGCATTTCCCAAAAAAAATCTTTCTCTGAGACAAACTGCTGCTTACAAGCAAATTCTAAATTTGGAACGTAAATTGACAACAGCGCAACGACAGCGCATAAAATCAGCCAGGGCCACTGATGAATTATCACCAATACAATGTTTTGCGGATAAGCAGTTACAAAACCAGTGGCAAGGCATTGAATCTTATAAACTCAGTCGGTCAATCTTAATATAAATCATCGCACATTTTTCTTATGAATTTTTTCGACTCATGTGTCGTAATTGTTGATACGCGCGCCCACACACCATATGGTCAACGTGAATATCAATGAATGAAGCAGAATTTTTGGCTTCTTTGCGTCTATTTTCGAAAGAGTTTTTATCAATCGAATTGGTACCCATAATTTTTCTTCGCCATTTTTTCAACGAATTTTTGTTTTTCGATTTGAACTCACAGTCATCGTATACGAGTAACATATGCTATTACATATACGTTTCCTTATCTCCTCTTTTATACTCAACTTTATGATGGAGTTTATCGTATTACTGACATGACCGGCGCGCAGCGCACATTCAAACAATTCGTAATCACAGCTGTAAACGACAGTTTTTTTTGTCGTACTGCAATTTTTTGTCGCTAAATGCTGATGCATATAGTCCAAATATTCATTATGTTGTTTTTTTTTTTTTGCTTTTTTATCGACGACAGTATTCATCAATTAAATTTTGTAAATTGTATATGCCGTGTTTGTCTGTGAACCAAATGAACCGGTATTGCTTCCGCATCCGAGTCTGGTACGACTCCAAATTTTTGAAAATCAATTCGTCGTTTTTTTCATTCATAATGCACATATTATCATTCGATCATTCGATAGACATAATTAAAATATCCATTAATCGTCATTAATTATCATTTTGCGCATTTGATTCATCCGAAAAAGTGTTGTGTTTAACCGATTTTTTCTGCATCAATCGCATAATAGTTTTATTTTTATCTTGCGCCAAATGTGATACTAAACAATAATCAAAATTTCAACGTTGATATTTATATAAATATATATATTAACATATTCAGCATCAAATCAAAAACAACAACAAAACTTAAACACAGATCTAACCAAAAACCAATTTCTGCTTTTTTGTTCTTTTTTTTTTGGAAAATCCAATACCCTGGTTGCACTACCCGTGTTCGGTCGTTCGTTCGTTTGTGGATAACAATAAATTAAACCAAAACAAAAAAATGCTAATTATGCACTTGCACATAAAATGTGTTTACGCACACACGTAACTGCGCTTCGCATATTCAACGCACACATGCAAAATCACATCCCAAAAACACATACAAATTCTCCCGTTTTTTTTTTTTTCGATTTACGTGACAAATATTAATTTGACGTTACACACACAATAATACATCGATTACCAAAACCTCTGCGCAAAATTTTATAAATAACATACCAAAAAATAAATGATTTAAATGACCACAATCGCACAAAAATACACACATGATGTAGCTGTTTGAAAAAGGAACATTCATTCCCAGAATCGAAACCAATACAATGCCACGAAAGGGTTAACAAACCAAATGGTTACTTTTATGCAACAAAATGCTGTAAGGAATATGATAATTGTAATAAATTCCTTCGAATCGAAAGCCTACGAGGTGAGAACAACAAATTTTCCAACATCCTTCGACCATAATTCCCACACTCCACCCCCCAACAATCACCATCACCATCACTACCACCATATCCACCATCAAATCGTCCTTCTCAAGAAACCATAAAACGATTTCATTTTTAAAAATTTGCCATTTTGTGTCACCATGCCAGTTGTCCGTCCAAATTTGCATGTTTTGACCAAACCATGTTTTCTTCATATTTCATGAATTGGTTTCGCATTGTGATATTTTCGCATTGGTATATGGGAATGAATCATCTTTATATGTCAAACATCATTGCAGGCAAAATGTATGTGTGTTTTCACAGTTCATCGACACTGAAAATGTATAAACAAATCACCGTTTGTCCACAAAATCTCATCTCATAATTGGTGAATCTTCAATAGTTTTGATCAAAAGTCTTTCTAATCAACATTTTACCACTTTTCCATGAGTCGTTGTCTTTTCCGTCTTGGCCCCAATCGTTTTTCATGTGTGTCTTTTTCATTTTAGTATAATTTTGATATATTTCAATCATAATTCATTTATCAAAGCCAAATGTCAAGCGAGATAATACACTAATTCTTGGGGGGTTTTCGTATCACATTTTTTTCTGTATTATGTGCGTTTAAGTGTGCGTCTCAATGATAACAACAACATCAGTTGCAAAAAAATGATGAATCTGTCATTCACTATTTTTATATATATTTATAATTTTGTGAAACACTGTCGCTCTTATCTTATCACTTTCATTTGTAAATTAAAGTGTCTTTTTTTTCGTATCTAATGCCAAAGGCAAAAAAAAAAAAATATTTGATTTATCAAGAAACAAAAGAAATTCAACATCAATAAATCATCAAGAATCCAAATTCAATTATTTATTTGTTCATCTAGAAATCACATGTGTTACACGTTACGTGGTAGACAGATTTTGTAACAAATTCAACTTAAATCAGATCAATCATATCAATGTCAACAATAGCTAACTAGATTTACTTTTTAATATCAGTTCAAGTGAAGAATTGAGTGTCCTTTTTGTTTCTCTAACCAACCAAACCGTTCGTTCATTCGTTTCACAGTCATTTTGCACATCGTATGTTTCAATCAAATCATTCAAAGTGAATGTGATGTCATCTGAAGGGTTTCGTTTGATTCGGCATTTTGTGAAAAGCGCCATTTAATTATGATTTTTATATATATATATATATATATCGTTGTTTTGTATTTTTTTTTTATTCTCGAAATGAATTTTTTTTTAATTCATTTTCGGGGGTAATGATAAGGAGAATTAATGGAGTGAAAACCGAATGATATAGCATTTTATTATTGTTGTTTCAGCAAATGTTTCAAGTGGGTTTATTCGGAGAATCAAACAATAAAAAAATGTTCAAGCATGTTCTTACAAAGTCATACAATTCAAATCAATTATTTATGTGGATTATATGATCCCCAGTTTGGACCTTTTGTATTCCTTCTATAATTCACGCATGATTTGTTTATCCAACCCACTTATGCCCCAAACCTCTTTCCAAACTTAAAATTCAACTGAATTCCATCGTTTGTTTATTCAATATACTGTATTTTCCTTTGTCGGCTAGAAACGTGCATCTATATTTAAGAAGAATAGAAAAAATGTGTAACCCATATATACAATTTATGTATTTTGTTATTGTTTCCTCTTTTGTGTGTACCATTTTAAGAGCAGATACCATTTAATGTTTAAGCCTGCATGTTCGTAGATATATAATACATAATTTTTTTATAGACGTTGTGTTCGTACTCGAAAAATTGTTTGCCTTTTTTTGTCGTGTGTGTGTGTTCTTTTTTTCTCTCTCTCGTTTGAATAAACTTCAGATTTTATTTGCTTATATTACTTATTTATGTAGTATTGTGTTGTCTAATTATATATATATATATGTGTGTGTATGTGTTTCCTTTCCAAATAATGAATAATATTTTTTTCGTACATTTCAGGTGGTAAAATGACACGTGCCAAGCACTTCAAGCATTCGATGAAAGATTATACTTTTCGCTTGTTCTCAATTTCTTGCCCAAACTCTAGCGTCCCACTCAAATCGATTGGAAGCCAAATAAATCGAATTACCAAATGACTTTGGCATTGTCTTTTTTCTTTGCCTACGTCAAATGCTCACATTTCAGATCAATAATTTCGCGCCTTCATAATTCCAAACCGAAATTCATATTTTCATAATTTGATGTGGTCTTAAATCTGCTTACTTAAATGTAAGCCTTCAAAGGTTGCACAACCCTCTGAAGTCATGTGAAATCGAAAAACATTCATATTTCCAATGGAGTACCTTCGACTTCCCTTTCAGTATGGCCGTTGAAACATTAGAATACAATGTATATTGAATTTAACGAAAACATTTTGACTGAAAATTACATTTCGGCGGAAAATAATTGGATGCAGAAGAAAATTGAATGTGATTTATTTCGAATAAGTTCCCAGTTTGATGTCTAGACATCATTACTTCGCGAAATGTTGTTTAAAGTTCTTCCGCCTACACGTTGAAAAATTTCGCTTTGAAGATTTATAATTGATTTCATACAATGGCAATTTATATAATATTTTTCGGTCGATTGAATAATCAATGCGGTAACTTTTGATCCATGATCACGTGCGCCGCCAAAATATTACTATAATTGCCGTTGAAATGGAAAAAACCATGTTGTTCCATTGAATGAACATTCTCTTGAACATGGGGACGGTCGGCACGTGAAGGGCGAATGTCTATTTGCCCCTAGAAAATCCAATAAATTGGAAGAATTTGGGAACATTTAAGGGAGAGCTTATACTACAATGTATATGTTCTCATTTAGAGAACTCTTTTCGATTTTTAAAAGTAAGAAAAAAGGCGAAAGTATAAATGATAGTTAAAAGGAGTTGGAGTGTTTTTGTCACATGTTACATTTTACCACTAGCTGTGTTATGGTCAGAACGATAAAATTTGGACAAAAAAAGAAAAAAAGCATCAATTTCATCCATTTAAATGTATGAATTGATTAGAGAAAAAAAAAACTGTGACCGAAATTCCAAATAAAAATCTGTATCAAAACATGTGATTTTTCTTGCAAATGCATTAAACTGTGTGTCGAATATTTTCAGCAGAAAGTTTTTATTCGGAGTTAACAACATGGGATTTGATCTTCATGATCTTTGGTGCAACATTTTTATTTTGTATGGTGACACTTTCAAGCTACTGGTATATGCAGCGTCGTAAGCGTGGCACTGGAATGCGACCATTTTCACCATCCGAAGATTCGGTATGTGATCCAATTCTCAATGGCAATACAATTCAAGATATAATCGAAATGACAACATCCGGATCGGGATCAGGTACTTTTGAATATATTCAAATATTTCCCATCAAACCGGTTAGTGAAACCGATTTTGTTTTTCTTTTTTATGTGCAGCTGGTCTTCCGTTACTGGTTCAACGATCGATTGCACGCCAAATTCAGTTGATCGAAGTCATTGGCAAAGGACGATTTGGCGAAGTATGGCGTGGTAGCTGGCGCGGTGAATTTGTTGCCGTAAAAATATTTTCGAGTCGTGAGGAATGCTCATGGTTTCGCGAAGCGGAAATCTATCAAACGGTTATGTTGCGACACGAAAACATTCTTGGTTTCATTGCAGCTGATAATAAAGGTATAGAAAATCATCCAAATTGGCATTGTCATCATTCATATTTTCATATCATTTCATTTTAGATAATGGAACATGGACTCAATTGTGGTTGGTAACCGATTTCCATGAGAATGGTTCTCTATTCGATTTTCTAACAATGAGAACGGTAGACACAAAAGTCATGCTGGCCATGGCACTTTCAATTGCAACTGGTCTCGCACATTTGCATATGGACATTGTTGGCACAAGAGGCAAACCGGCGATTGCACATCGCGATTTAAAATCGAAAAATATTTTGGTAAAATCAAATTTGACATGTGCGATCGGTGATTTGGGATTGGCTGTTCGACACGACATTAAAACCGACACCGTTGACATACCATCAAATCATCGAGTCGGCACCAAACGATACATGTCGCCAGAGGTTTGTTTCTATTTTGAAATTCTCGATCAATTCGGACGAATGACAATTTCTTTTATTTTGGTAATCATCATTTAGGTTCTGGATGAGTCAATGAACATGAATCATTTTGATTCATTCAAACGGGCCGATGTTTATGCATTCGGTCTTATTCTATGGGAAATATCAAGACGATGTAATTTCGGCGGTGTTTATGATGAATATCAGCTGCCATATTATGATATGGTGCAACCAGATCCAACGATCGAAGAAATGCGCAAGGTAGCAATTTTTTCATACTCATACCCCCTTGCTAAGAACGTTGGGAATCTTTAATTATTGTTTAAATTTGAATTCGTAATGTCACAGGTGGTTTGTGTGGATAAACTGAGGCCGAGCATACCAAATCGATGGCATGTATCCGATGAATTATCAATCATTGCAAATGTGATGAGAGAGTGTTGGTGAGTGTTTTTTTTTAATGAAAATAATAAAAAAATATTAACAAATATAATATATATTTAAATTATTATTATTATTATATTATTAGGTATCATAACCCTGGCGCTCGACTAACAGCACTGAGGATAAAAAAATCGCTGGCATACCCAAAAAACTATGACGAAAAAAATAAAATCAACTGCACTTAAATGCATCTCGTTTTCTGAGGCGTTTCTTCACGATCTTCGATTTTATGTACATTTTTTCATCTTGTTTTATGTTTATTTTTTTATAATTTTTAAATTGTTAGATAAAAACTGTTCTCCTTTTTTTCTGTCGATTCAGAGAGTGTTGTACATAAGAATTCATCATTAGTTGTTTAGCTTTTAAGTTTTCTATATATAAGATATATGGAACAAAAATGTGGACACAATTTTTGGTTCTCATGTTTTTTTTATTTTATTTCTTTTTTCTAAGTTTTTATGAAATTAATAAGATATTATAATTTAGCAAACAAGAAACACACAAAAGAAATTAATTACAAGTATAATGGGGCGACAAAATGATCGAATTGAATTCTCACATTTCGATTATGTCGAACGCATTTAGGTTGATAGCATTCGAATTAAAAACATAATGACCAGATAATATATTTAGCTGTCGTCATCTGGATATTACAGCTCATCTGGATATCGTCAGCAGATGATATGAAGTGAAAACAATAGAAGTGATTGTTATAGGTATATAAGCTTGTTATATACTGGTATTACTATAACAATCACTTCTATTGTTTTCACTTCGCATCATCTGCTGACGGCATCCAGATGAGCTGAAATATCCAGATGAAGGCAGCTAAATATATTGTCTGATAATGACTATGAGTTTTAAATGCTCAATATGAAATGGATGCGTACGAATTAATACTCGCCCATCAAAAACAATGGATCATCTGTCGTTGAGTTGAAATGTAAAATTTTTGGAGACGCATTTTTTTTATTATGATCAAATGAAAATGGAAAATGAAAACATACACACAAGAATTACATCAAAACAAAATTCGTCAGGGAAATAATAAACATGCTAACTATTTTATAAAACATTGTAGATTTTGTGTGGTTGTGTATTGAAGCGCACAAAATTCAAGTGAGAGATAAAAAATTAAAGTGGAAATTTGCAAACAAGAAAAAAATTTACCATAAAATTTGATGGGAAATATAAAAATCACAGAGAAAAAAATACAATTTAGATGTATAAGTTGTACATATCGTCACATTTAAGACTTAAAAATCTATAGAAATAAGCAGACAAAAAGGCACACAATCGTCATTGATTGCAAACATAACATATAAATAATAAGGCTATTACAATTAGTTGAATCTACAGTCAACTTCATTTCGAGTAATTTAACGATCGGTCAACTCAATCCGCATCGAAATAACCTCAATCTAATCTTCTTTTTTGTTTCGTAACACAGATTTTTTTTTTTGATTTTTTTTTCTTCTATCTCTTGATTAATTCAATTAAATTTGCATTCACATTTGATGGGAAAGAAAAAACGGGAAGAAAAAAAGACAACTGCCATGCTCGAAACCAACAAGACTTAAATACGAATATACATTAAAATACAATAAAACTGATCACGCGAAGTTCAAATTTGCTCTATTTTCAAATTGGATATTGAAGAAGATAATATATATTTGAGATACTGTTATACAAACCAGAATTTCAGATAACACGACATTTTGTTTTTGTGTATGTGTGTTTGGATACACACAAGGACTTTAATAAAATTAAATTGAAAACACGAGAATTTGAACTGATGCAAAAAAAAAAACGACAAAATACCTCAATAACAGTGCAGCCAAGTCAATATTTAAACTCTGTTGTTTGTTTTTTTTTAAATAAATTTTTGAATCGTAATAGAAGCATAAAATCTTTACCAATCATTAACAATCTAAAAAAAAACAGAAACAAAAAGAAAATAACAAAAGAAAAACCATACTCATAAAATGCCAATACAATTTATTGCGTTCACTCGACAGCTTCCCATATCAATATAATCAATAATATTTTTGTACGCGGTATTAACAATCACATATCCCATCCACGAATGTCCCTCACATTCCCTTAACTCACGCCCATCTCCCAATAGCCCAAATGCAATTCCATAGCATCTATCGAACACGCAAAATCAGTCATCAATTCCATAGACTTATGAACACGATACAACGTTTTCCATTTATATAAAAATGTAAATGTGTACATTTTATTTAGATGGAGAAAAAGAGAGAATAAAAGAAAAATTTACCGAAAAAACACAGTAACAGCTACTATTAGTTATTCAACAGAAGATAAAAAATAGAAATAAAAGTTCAGGTTTTCAAATCACCTGAAAAAACACGAACATTATACATTGAATTATGTTGATTTAAGTCTTGTACGTACATTGTTGATTCTCTTCCCAACTGTAAAATCAACAATACAATATTTCTAATTAGCCATTCCTTTTCTTCAATTAGATCACCTTTAGTAACAATTTTATTTAAAAGAAAAATACAAACAAATTAAGAGCCACAAAAATACAGAAACAAAAATGAAAACTTGATAAAACAGAAATATTGCCGACACAGATGAGGCACGTTTCTGTCGAAAAATTTATAACATAACACACACCTTCCAATTTGATGAAGAAAAAAAAACAATTTTAACAAATAGTAACACACACACACACACATATCCGATATCCTCAATATTAAAGATGATAACCTTTTTTTCTCATTTGTTTTTATTGTTGACCATACAAAATAAATCAAAGCCGCAGCCAAATGAGCTTTGTTCCGTATACGAATTAAACATTTTCATTTGTTTTTTTATTTTATTTTGGTATTTGTTATTTATAATTTCAAGCATCCCAACCATATGATGGATATTGAATTTGCGTATGATGTCATATTTCGACTCCGGTTTGTAAGCCCTTGATGTTTATCCTTCTTCACAATGAAAAAGAAAACTTTTCTTTTTAAATGATATGATGATCGGCTTTTTAAATAAAACGATCACAAATCTTTTCCATAACGATCATAATATTTTAACAGCGGCCTTTTCTTAGATTAATAATATGAGCAGGTTCTGCTCTGCAGGAGTGCTCTTAGGAGCTGGAGCCGCACTAAGGAGCATAGTTCCTTCCCAATGAGGATAATAATTAAAATTGATAATATTGAAATATAGATTTGTTCCTCATTGAGAGGTAGCTCTGCTCCTCTTGCTCTTTGGAGCGCTCTCGCATACAATGCTCTGAGAAACAGTCTCTGTTCTTTTTAAATATTTAAAATGTTAACCGTTCTTTCCTGCGCCGTAAGTTTCATTCAAATTCCGAAATATTCGTTAGTTCCCACAAACGAAATTCGGAAACAAAAAAACATTTTTTAATCCTTTTTTCGTTGATTTAAAAATGATCATAAAATACATTTTTTTTTTATTTCCATTTAATTTTTTTTTTGTGATATATTTTTGTTTGCACTTGTAGTTTTTTTACTTATATTATACACCGTCAAACATTTATAAATATTTGTAGTGCAACAATGAGAAAAAAAAATGAAATTCAGGAATTTTTTTACAAACATTTTATTAGCAAGAAAATAAAACGTATTGAAAGCACTTTAATCGAACTCCCTCTAAACTATAGTTTATCTACAATAAATATTAATTATATACATTATGATTCCTGAGTCGAGGGTGAACATTTTCGATGTAAGGAAAAGAAAAACAATTTCATTTTGTAAAAGCTTCAACCAATTTATTCATATTTAAGGCATTTGTGAATGGTGGAATGTTCATTGCATCAAATTCAGAAAATAAGTTTAAAAAAAAAACAAATGCAGCTGAGAAAAACAAGAAAAAAATATATTTATATACTATTGTAGATATAAGTGAAGAGAAAAAAAACCATTACAACAACAAAATGAGATGAATTACCTGTAGCTGAAATACAACAACTTATTTATACAGTTTAATAATTACAATTATGGACGGATTTAAGTAATGACAACATAAAAATTCGTTCGATTCACACACACACACATACACGAATGTAAATGCCCAAAAGTTTGTTTTTAATTAAAAGTGTTCAAATAATCAAAATTCAAAAATAATAATTTCAGATTGAGCTGAGCTGGCCATAGTCTGTGAGGCCACTACATGCGCTTATGAATTCACAATCATGAAAAAAGTCACAATCATGGAAATTACGAATATTTTGTAATTCATTTCTAAGAAAAGTTCAAATACCAGCCGTCTAATTTGGATTTATTTTTTCTATACTCAACTATAAATAATTTCAAGCAATCTCCTCATTTCTACTTTGTATTTCAAGCAATATTAACAAAAAAAATGGTAAAAAATTATTTTCCAGTGGCCAAATATTATCTTATCGATTTTCATCATATCAGTACCTAAAATGTAGTAAATTCATACACAAAATTGTTCATTTCGAACTGTTGGTTAAAATCAGTTGAAAAAAATTTTCAAATTTTATATGATACATCATCACTGTGAATGACATAAGCGGATCTATTGAATTTGCCGAATAGTCTAATATGGCCAACAAAGATGTCCGATAAAAATCACTGTAACCGCAAATAAACTCAAACTTGCAAGCGATTTCCATTCAGTCGAATGTGTGTCGGGCATATATTGTGTTTATCGTGTGAATTTGTGAAAATAAAATGTATTTAGAAAATTACCTGAACAATTTAGAGAGCAAAATAGATAAGATTTAGATTTTAAGAGAAAAACAATTTTTTGGAATTAAATATATAGTAATTATCTAAACAAGTTAATTCTTCAGCGCATCGTTTTATACTTGAACCTGGACACTCATTTACAGAGTGTTTCCCATATCTGTAAATAGAAAAATGGTATTTATTAATTCAAAGTAGGCAAAATTCTATGGTAGTTAATGGCATTTTATAATGAATCACTTTCCGAAGCGATAAACAATAGTGAAAAATACTCACAGAAAAACAAAGCATTGGTAGTACGTCCTCGAAATGCTGAGACACAACAGTCAGTCTCAGTTAGTGTAACAATATTACAATATTAATTTTTAATTAATTTTCGAGTTAAAATGGTGGTTGGTCATGCTTAAGGCTGCTGATTATTTTGAACTTCTTGTTGTCGACGTGGTGGATTTTGTCAAAATCGAATATTTGGTTCCAGAAGTGTTCTTTGTTTTCGCGAATGAAGTTTTCGGTAGCTTGTTTACCTTCGAATTTTGGAAGTAGCTTCTCTTCTGCCAACATTCCGTAGAAAACATCATTGCACATGAACACTGCCTTTCGCTTATAATCTGGTAATGGAACAACAGACAGATATTTGATCTTCGATATTGTGACGTTGTTGTCTAGCGCCCAATTGTGAAACTCATCGATTTCGCTCTGTATGACATTGCAGTTGCTTTGAACCAGTATTTACCTTTTGAGAACTACTTGATGTTGTCATAATTCGCTAGTCTACGAACTCTTTCCACAATTGCACGAACCATCTCAAGCAGCAATTTTTTTTGTATTATTTTGGAGGTGCATTCTGGTGTGTATCTTGAATGGCATCATACCGTCGAATCGCCCAATCAATTGCATTGTCAATATCCTTTTTATCGAACTTCAAACCGGTTGACACTGCATTAAACTGCCAAGCTCTCATTTGCAAATAATTTCGCAGCCGCTCTTTGCATGTGTCGTTTGATTCGTTTTCAATTGGCGCGTATAACTTTGGTATAACGATTTCATGATGTTGCCGAAATATTTTTTGTTCGGCCAGGCAAATTGAATGTCTCGGCTTATTCCTTGCTCAACAAAACTACGAAAATGTGGTTCCATGTCCTCGTTTTCTTTGTTCTTATGCAAAACTGCATAAAATCAGCGCTCAATCATATCTTCGGTACGATTTTTTTCAACCAATTTTCCTTTTTGGTCAACATACACTCTATTCGTGAAAAAGTCCCATTGGCGATTGCTTTGCGCAGACTTCACTACAGAGTTGTGTTGTTCGATTCTGAAAATGCGTTAAACATAAATACTTTTTTTTGTTTATTTATCGAATTCAAAGGAATTACAACAATAAGTTGTCAAAGCAATCGAATAGAGTCTATATATGTGCAAGCGACAAAGAAAAAAAACTTCAAACTGTAATCGACTACTTTTTCAAATATGTTACATTTTCATGCATTTCAAATTTCTTTTTCGTTTTGGGAAGTGCCACTATCAATCTCTTCGTTATATGAATGCCATTAAATAATATAGAATTCTGTGATCTTTGAATTCAAAAGTACCAATTTCTCATTTAGAGATTTGAGAAACACCCTATTATACATTAAATATATCGAAGTGGAAATATCTAGTCTCACAAATTTGACGAATACGAATGAGTTATATGGCAGCATAAAACAATTTTTTTCTCTTTGGTTTTTTGATAGGGTTGATTGGAACAAATTTAAAATCAGGTCAGTTAGAAGCAGAAAAAAATCCATTCAGTCAGCACTAGACCGATCTGACCGGTTCAGAAAAATGTCACTTTTGTATGGAGAAACTCTCACCGGCAACAAAACTCGATCTCAATTTCGAAATATTTGCCTTTTATCTTTTTTTGGGTGTCAAAAAATTACAAAAACATGTTGTTTCGTTTGTTTTTGAATTTCGGTGCCACAATATCGATCAGTTTCAGTCAGCACCCAATAGAAAAATTCACCGTGAAAGTGTTTTTTCCATCGCTCATTCGTATTTGTCAATTTAAGCTAAATTATATGTTATTCAACTAATTATATACAGTTAATACATATTTTTAAAGCTCCCTCGTCAAGATTAACCAAATTTCAACAAAAAAACACTTCATTTTCTACTATTACCTACGTATATTCTACGTTTTTATCACTCGTTCTGTGGTTTTCTTTCTGTTTTGGCCATCCTTTTAAAATTGTACAAACAAATTGAATGTTGGCCCGCATGATTCTGTACATTCATCGGATCAACATTTATTTAATTGTATTTTAAAAAAACTAAAACGAAAAAAATAGTCAAGAAAAATGAAGGGGAGTAAATTTTATAGCTTGAAAATGGGAATGAGAATGCATCTACTATTATTACTATTAACTGTTTTATATAAGCGCGAGTGTTAGAAGCCGGACTTTACAAATGAAAGAAAAAATAATAATAATGAAAAGTCAGTGAAATCTAAGAGAGATCACATTGATTTTAACAGCGATCAATATTTGGATGATTCTTTAGAGCCACTTCTTAAATGTTAATTCTTTTTTTATTTTGTTTTATATGTTCATTTTTCTTCTTCTCGTTTTTGTTTGTTAAACATATGTGCCCCATTCTTTGATTGCAAAAGTTATTTCTATGATATTTCTGCACCACCATGGTCGCACCAACACATTTTGAATTTAAATGGGAGATTACAGCGACAAATTCTGTCTTATTTTGCTATAGTAACACGCACGTTTATGGGGTATCGATATTGTGAAACTATTTCTAATTGAATTTTTTCTAATTGAAGCGAAATATTCACGCTATAACTATCAGAACCGAAGATTTGTTGAATCCGACAATTGACCTGCGTCGTTCTTAGCAAAAAAATTCTTGAAAAAAGTGAAGTGTATTTTGCGAAAAGTGTACTTTTTTCGTTTTGTTTTTTTGCTCTTCACTTTTTTGGCCAAAATCCCTAGCAAATTGAACGAATTTAACACTTCGTCAGGGGGGAAGGTAATCAAACCCCCCGGACCCCTGCTGAGGACGTATGCTCATAGATCTCAAAATTGGTAAATCTAATTCGTTGTTGATTGATTTTTTTTAAAATCTACCAAAATTGAATTAAATATACATCAAACTAGTTGACATTTACTTTGGATGGATTGATCAATACGATTCTTACATTTAAATGTCATGGAAAAACTGCAGAAAAATCATATTAAACTTGAAACTTAAAGAATGGAATTAAATTGCTAGAGATATCAAACACTTTCTACTTTTTTTGTTAAACAATGTACCTTTTTCCTAAATGATAATTACATTTTTTGGCAATGGAAAAGATTCTATACACAGAAAGAGAGAGAGAATGTGAAAATGTGAAAATGTTGAAAATAACAAACAAAAATAACTTATATAAATACAAAAATTGAACATTGAAACCACAAAACAAATTGAGTGTGCTTTAAAAGAAAAAAAAATTTATAAAACCACAATAAAGAGAATTGTTTCAATAAATATCAATTTATTCTTTTCATTCGATTCTTTTTTTAAAAAACAAATCTTGGAGCTTGGAAATTCAAAGTCTTGTGAACATCGGATTAATTACCGTTCAATTTACACTTTTTGTTTTAAAAATGTTACCTCGTGAAAAAACACCACATTTTCCAAAATTGTTGCAAAAGATTAATGAATATCGACACAAAAATAACCCGCAAAATATAGCTTATTCTCATTTTCAAATGTCATGTATTCATTTGACTTGATCAGATATAAAATGATAGCTCTTGATAAGTATTCATATTAATTCGGACAACATTTAGAAAAATTGACATTTAATTTTATATACCTCCCAAATACGATGGCCTTCAAGATCTCAGAAACGTTTAAAGTCTGAAAAAATATTGAAAATTGCAGATTTTACGCAACCCCAAACGGCCAAGAAACTATTTCTTTGAAAAGTGAAAAAAATATTTAAAAAATTTACTTCTTCAATAATTCAGTTATTATTATTATGTGCGGTGACAATTCAAGCGTTTCTAAAAAAAAAGCTTAAAGTTTGTTTTTAATGGATCTTATGTTGAGTTGAACAATCCAGTGCACAGCATGGGAGATAAGAATAATTTTTCATCATTTTTTTTTATCTGAAGCTTTTATTTTGAAGTTAGTTAGTACATTTCATTTGACATGTAAATAAATCTTCTCTATCTTTAAAAGATGTTTATTTTTAAAGCATCGCATCGTAAAAGTTTTTGCATTCTATACATTACGCTTCTTAATGAGGTGAAATATCGCCAAATATGTCTTATTGCTCGAAACAATAATCTTCAATTGATTTGACCTTTTCGAGGATTGGTCCCTCTTGTTCCTGTTCGTACAAATATTGGAATGAGAACATTTTCATCACAATTTGATTTAAAAGAAAACGTTGAAAAATAATTTTAGTAATAGCTTACTTCTGTTAATTGTGCAGTCAATTGCTCCCATTCGTCTCTAGCAGATAGAAGCGTCTCCAACATACATTTACTAAAATTAAAGACATAAAATTGAAACGATGTCAAAATTTAAAAAAAAAATCGTAACTCTTCCATAAAATTTTCATCACAACTTACAATTTATCCATTTCTGGAAGTTTCAAACATTCATTCTGTTTTTCTACCATTGAATTAATAAATTTTTCAATGTCTTCAAACCAATGCTTCAATTCGGGATATTGAATAGCCAGCTTCTTAAGTTCATCACCCATGCATTTTCTTTGTTCCGGTGTCATGATCGAATCATGATCATTTTCCCCAAATAATCCAAAAATACTGCGATCGGATTTGAGGCGACTGACATCAGCATTTACCAGCTAAATAAATAATCCGGTTAATTTTCTGTGTACATTAAAAACTAAATGACAATGCCATCTAAAAGTTGAAATTGTATTTGTCCATTTGATTTTCATAAGGCGTTGTCATCTAGTTTTCTTTGTATATATTTTCTGTGTGTACTAAGATTGGAAAAATGTAAAACAAATATGTGAAATTACCATTATTGTTGAGAACAGAATACAAGTCACCAAAAATTTCATTTTTGAAATAATTAATAATCGCGGCGCAGATTATCTGTCTATAAACCTTTGAAATTACAACTGATGATTGGAATTACTGGGAACAATAACCAAGTGTAAACAGCGAAAACAATCTAATGATAATATTGAATGTTTCAAAAGCTACATATCTCAAGAGGACACTTGACTTTTTATGAATTTCTTTTTTCCGGCATTTTTTTTAAATCAATTATCACTCTTTTATATTGAACACTGGGCCGTCTAATTCATCCATTTATCTGAACTAAGTTATAATAGTTCTTAATTCGGTTTGATTTGATTGTGTACAATTGTACATTCCTGGTGGATGAGATCATTTCGTTGTTGTCACGGAATCAAGGTAATTTCAAACATATGTATTTATAACATTTTTCAGGGTTTATTTAAAAGAAAAAACTTTCTGCGAAAATCAGTTTGGAACAAAATTACTCCATTTGAAACCTTTGGTACTGACCACCTTTATCACGGTAAGCGAATATATCTCATCAGCTAAGATTGAAAAAAATTGAATTTGGAAGAGTATCGAGCTAAAAGAGGTTTTTTGCTATGATACAAGCAAATTGCTCATTATGATAACTGTGAATGTCATTTAGCTAAAGTCAACTTAATAAAGCTGAATTTTCAACGAAAAAAACAAAACAATACCTTGTGCGCCAATTGGTTTTGAGCTTCCCGAAATGTTGAATATAAACATGTTCCAAATAATTTATTCCTAAAAGAGAGCCAAATAAAAGCATTTTCTTTTTTTTAAGAGACACAAATACAAATCATTTTTTGTTTTCAGTCGACTTTATTTGACCATAATTCGCAAGTCCTTTTCTTGAAAGTCTTATTTCATTACAAGTGAATTTAAATGTTGTTGTTATTTTTTTTTTTTAATTCATCATCCGAATACTTAATGTGTTTGGTTTCAAATGTTATTTAGTCTTGAACACTCTGTGTTGTTGTTTCAAAACGGTAAATATGGTTGAAGCTCTCAAAATTGCGATAAGCATGAATTTTAACAGAAATGCATTAATTACGGTGAAAAAAAACAAAAGTGATCACAAATAAACGCAAAATATGGGAATAAAAACTGGTTTGAATGAAGTGCTTATCATAGCTACGGCAAATATTATTTTGAGTAAACAATTTCTGTTTTCTTTCAAATCGATCAGTTCAGTGTTGTTGTGGTTTGGTATGAATGATTGCTATTAAGATTATTTTTCATGTGCTTTGGTATTTATAACTTTTGTTCAAATTGAAAATTTAAATTGTTTTCATTTCTTACTTCATATGAAACGAAAATGTGTTTCGATTTTTTTGGGGAAGTCTTCAAATCAATTGGGTAAAAAAAAATTGCAGAAGACAATAAAACGATAATAAATGAAGGCGGTTTAAACATAAAAATGAAGTTTAAAAAAAAGAAGAGAAATGATCGATTTTGAAATGTTTATGTGAATGAACGAGAGTCATCATTTTGCTTTTTTGTTTTGATCACTGTTGTTCTGGTTATTCCAACTATTATCCGATGACCAAATACTGTTCCAATTATCTGATGGCCTGAGGGAATTTAACATTCGATCGTACTGCAAATCGCTTTGGGCGGTTTGATTTTGTTGTTGTTGTTGTTGTTGTTGCTGCTGCTGCTGCTGTTGCTGTTGTTGTTGTTGTTGTTGTTGCACCTGTAGCTGTTTTTGTAGCTAAACAAGGTAGATAAATATAAGAAAGAATAAATATTATAAATTGAAGTTCAGGTGGGCAGAGCGGACAATTTTCTGAGTGTGCATAATGTGTGGAATAATTACTAATTGTTGTTGATAGTTTCGAAGGAGGAGCTCATTTTGTGCAGCCAATGTCCGTGGATCACGTGTGGTTGTGTGCCCAAAGCCGGGTGGCGGTCGAATTTCATGTGTACTTGATACGGCCGCTGGATTGGATGACCAATATGCGGATGATGTTGATGGCGTCGAATCAAATAAAGTGCTCGAATTCCATAGGCTATTTGGTGACGATGAGTAAACACTTTGCAATCTCTGTTGAGCCAATTGCTGCAATGAAGATGCAATAAACGTTTAAAATAAATAAATGCTTATGTCATCATATAATAATTGAGACAATAAAAATGTACCTGTTGATGTTGCTGTTGTTGTTGTTGACGTTGCAATAATCTATAAAGTATGTTTGGATCCCATAGATTTGGTTTGTGCTGTTCCAAATTACTGCTGCCACCGTACATGCCATTCAAATATCGCAGCAAATCGGCATTTTGTTGTTGTTGCTGTTGCTGTTGACGCAATTGTTGAAGTTGTTCGGACGAATTCAATTGATGTTGATTTAGTACACCGTTCAGGACATTGTCATTACGTTGATAGGTTGATGTTTGTGGATAAATGCCACTAAAAAAGCTATTCGATGTGCCAGCCAAAGTGTTCAGTGAATTGCCGTTACTTTGTGGAATTGGACTTTGAATTGAATGTATTGATTCCCAATTTTGGATTGGCGTTGATGATGGCGATTTTCTTGTTCCAATTGGTCCCAAATCCGGCGACGATACTTTGCTATCCGATGTTTGATATTCAAATGATGATTTGCTAGAGAATATGCCATCAGTGCCATTGCCACTGCCAGCGCCACCATTTGACGTATGTTTCTTAGCATTCTTCCGTTCTTTCGATTTAGCCTCATGTTTTGATTTGGTTGTCGTTTGTTTACTTTTCTCATTTTTTCCATTTGTTTTATTTGCGGTTTGTGTTTTAACAACGGACGATAAAGAAACGGCCGACGATGATGATGACGATGATGCACTGTAACCCAATTTATATTTACCATCTGGCTGTTCATACAGGTTACTTTTTTCAACTAAATCAAGCAATGGATGACTACCACACGGTGATGCAAATTCAAATGCCGAACTAAATGTCGAACTCTTAAATGTCGGACAATCGGTATCCGATGTTTTTCGATATGGCATTTGTGTATTATTCTCATTGGTTTTGATGCGTTCGCGTCCTGGCGTTTTACCATTTAATAGTTTCATTGGATTCGATTTGCTGGGCGGTGTACTTAATGTTGAATTTGCACCACCACCACCATCATCATCATCGTCGTCATCGTCATTATTGCAATTGGCATTGATCAATTCAAATGAATCGTGTTGATGCTGTTGGTCAACATTCAATTCATCATGATTGTGGTCCATTATTGTGGATAATGGCATATCATAATGACACGGTAACATTCGACGTGAGTCATAAGGTAACGGTAGACTTTTCGATTTTTTGACAACGCTTTTGGTTTTATCTTTGATCGGTGGTGGCAGTGTGGCTGAGAGATCTTTTGATTGTGTTGATTTTTTCAATTTTGTTTTACCATTTGGTGATTTATCGTCTGAATGGCTTGAGCTCTCTGTTGTTGTCGATGATGTTTCCTCTTCTTCATAGTTTGCATTTGGGGGGTATTCATCCTTTGAGCGTTTTTCCTTTTTATCTGTTGTCGTCGTCGGTGTTGTTTGTTGTTGTGATGGCGGTAACAATGGTGGCGATGAACATTTCGCTTTCGATTGTTCCATTTTTGGTTTGGTGTCCGATTTTTTCGGTGTAAATTTCTTTGCAATTTCGGTAATGTAGGATTTTTTCGGTGTTATTACTTCGGTCGATGCCGAACTCGATGGACATGATGTTCGTTTTTTCTCGGTCATTTTCTTTTTGCAAATGCTGCCATTTGTTTTCGAATTGCATGACAATGGTGTTGACGGTGATTGTTTTGCTGATGAATTTGCACCTCCAGTGCTATTCGAAGGTGTAGCCGTGTTGACCGAAGAAACGGTTCCGCCACCCTTTGTCACATCATCGAAAAATAAGGTTTTTAAACTAATTTGCCGTAAATCCAATGCCGGTTGCAGTGATCCTTTTGCTTTTGATATATTTTCGACATGCACTTTAAGTACTTTCATTGAATCTAAGTAGGCAGCAAATAAAACGCACACAAATGATACGGCTAATACAACGGCTGTCACATTTTTCATCATTGATTCCCATTCGGGACGTGCCAATGCTTTGCTGCACACGCCCAGCGATAACGGCGCAATTATGCTGTGCAATGTATAATTGACGGAATAATTTAACGATGTTTCTAAGTACAACGTTTTCTTAACCATGGCCAATGTAAAATCGGGCGTAAATGAAATTTCAATTTTTTTCGAACCATTCGGTGGCAATTCGAATGGCATACATTCCAATATACGATAACCATAACCTTCGCATGGTAAATCATCGATGCGAAGACCATGCATATAAATTGGTACTTCACCGCTATTCTTTGCGGTAAATGTTCGTTTTGCTGTAACCGATCGCATATTTATATTCGGATGATTACAGTCGCGCAAATGTTTATCGGTCAATTCAAAGAGTAACGGTGTTTTTGAGCCGGGCTTTCGATTGCCAAATTTAAATTGTGGCACCACCGATTTTGCGGTGATCCATGTCGCTTCCAGTACTGTAACATTGTTCCGTATCCATAAGATGGTTCCATAGCTGCCCGCATTTTCCGACATAAATTTTACCGTGATTCTATGATATGTTTTTGCCGGTATCACAACAATATCGGATTTGAATTGATTTCCGAAGGTATCCAGGGTGAATACATGATCCTCGGTGATTTGTTTATTTGTTGAAATGTCAATAATATCGGGCGGTAATTGTTGTACAATATCATCAACGCCAAATTTTTTGCCATCGTGTAAATAATAATGAATTTGTAGCGGTGCATCGAATGGATTAAAAATGTCAATGGTTTTAATGAGCTCGTGTCCAACTTGTGAAATTGCAAATTCAATTGGTGTCTTTATCAATTTTGGCCATGCAATATCAATGCTACCATTAAAATCGTAACGCTTGATATGATTGGTTTGCACGTGAAATGTTAGCTTTTGAAATTTGGCGGACAGGGCATGAAATCGATCTAATTGCTTTTTTAGTAATAAAATGCGTTGCCGATTTGTTTCGACTGTTTCTTCCATTTGTGTGACATCCAATGCACAACGATCATCACAGATTCGTGGTATCGCCACTTTTAATTGATCAATAAATGATTCGCTTTGCGCTAGTATCACCGGTTTTTCACCATCTTCATAAATTACATACGGTGATCGTTGCACGGACAATGGATCAATATCGTCGTTGACATCATTTTTATGGCCACTATTATCCACACGAGATACATTTGTCGCATGACATTCATCATATCCATCCATGTCTTTTAGCTCCATCATTGAGGCACTGTTGTCTATCTTCGATGACACATTATCCAAACATATATTATTCACATGAATCGTTTTTATGTGCATCGATCGTGTGAATGTTGAATATGCCGTTAAATTTACCTTACATACGCCACCCTGTTTACAAAACAAAAACAGAAAAAAATGTCAATGAAACGTATGGGACATGATACTATACTATATTGGGAAGTCAAAAAAAGAGAAAATTAATCATTTGTAATTTACAGAAAAAGATTTTTTATTGTTTTGCTGACGAAAATAGTTCAAAATTTAATTCATGGTTACTTCTTGAAACCGATTCATGTTTCATACGTTTCATATGTTTCATGTTTTGAAGAAGTATTAGTTCAAACATTTAGTCAGGCCAAGATTTGTCTATATATCTCTATTGATATTTGTTATTGATGCCTCGGACTCATTGACACCGAAGGGATAGTTTGAAAAATATGGAAACTATGGAATTGCATCCGGGCTGCTTTGAATCTATGAGCCATTACTAAATCATCAAAATACCCAAATTTGGCATTTAAAAAATGGCCCATATTCATGACCTGAAAACGCGTCCATATTAATACAAATTTATATTAAAAATGTTCGAAATGTGTTCGATTCAAATAATCAGATCTTTAAATTTCTTCTATTTGAATGTTCTATTGAAAACCCTAAATGATCATTATACATTTATTTCTGTGTCATACTGATTTTCAAATTGAATGTTTGAAACGAAAAATTGACCGAAATTGTCCTTTTTACCGTTAACTGATTTTATGTCAATATTTTTTCAATTTTTTTCAACAATTTCCCAAAATGACTCAAATCACTAAATGGAGGAGAAACTATATTTTTCATGTTCATTATTACCATAAGTTTCATATAATAATTTATAAGCGGCGAAAAATCACATGGGAATGAGAGAAACTGCCTTCAATTGAATTGAAATGACATAAATCTATTTTCCCGAAATTTGATGGAAACAACAATTTGTTGTGTTAAAATTGAATAATAAATGAGCGTACATTGATAGGTACAAGTTTCAATTATATCGATTTCCCTAATGTGAATTAAAATATATATAAAACATATTTGTGCACGCACGATGAAAAATGATTGAGTGCCACATGACCATTAGCGACAAATGAATCAACCGTTATACATATTTTATATCGGCTATAAAAAAGCAACACATACACACATATCTCTGTCTCTCTATCTCAATTAGTTCCTCACAAAATCCCTTCGATGGAAATAAAGGATGATTCATTTCCGATTTTGACAAATACCGAAGAGATTCATGCGGCAAAGGGACAGAGGGCACGGAGAACATCATTAGCAACACAAAATTATGGTCATAATAATTATCGAAAAGTCAACAATCAAGTTTGATTTTATTATTGTTTATTGCTATTCTACCCGAAGGTCAATAGAAATTTTTTCGTTACATTCTTTGTTCCCATTTCCGGACAACAATGTTTTTTGTTCGAGTAAATGATTCATGGGACGAATAATGAAATTTACGTCTGAAGAAGAAGAAGAAGAAGAAGAAGAAGAAGTGACATGTCCATCTGGCAAATGTCGTTGTACAATTTGAAAATGAAATATAGCCAGAGATAGTTTTCGACTAGTTTATCCAAAGCAGTTGTGTTGTTTTACAATTTTCGGTACAAGTGTTTGTTTACATTTTTGGACGTGTGATAACAAATTTATTTATAAAGTGATCCATACACACTTAAGTGATATTGTAAACAGCACGTACGCATTGCATACTTTTATAGTTTGGAAATAATGATACAAAGCATCGGATATGCACTTATGAAAGAGTAAATTTATGTAAAATTTTGAGATATACCCATATCAATTGGACCAACAAAATTAATCATGACATTAGTGATGAAAAGGCAATGAGAAATTGGCCACGTTCGTGATTCGAATGAAATCGATTTTAATATTTTATTCCATTGGCATGCCTCATCCATGCTACGTGATTTTGTTCATTTTTTTAAAGGGAAAATCGATGCAATTTTCGAACGTAATAAATTAATTTTAATATTAGTTTGAGGTCGTGCATATATTAACTACTATTCCATATATAGATATATTGTCCATAAAAACTCCTGGATGTTGTGTGTTTGGCGAGGTGTTTGTGTGTGTGAGAGAGAGAGCGAGTGAGTGTGATATCTATGACGATGGTAGATATGGAAATAAACAACATGTTTATTCATTTAGAAATATACACGTCATGCAACAATTTAGTTTGGCCATAATTTCGATTCCATATATTTATTTGGATGGGGTTTTTTTATTCCATGAAAGGATCTATAATTATGTGTAAAAAATAACTGAAAATTAATAGCATTTCATTTCGATAATCAGTTTTATGAATATTATTGAGTGTGAGAGGAGAGATGGGGAGAGAGAGAGAGAGAGAGAGAGAGAGAGAGAGAGAGAGATAGTTAGAAAGGGAAGTGAGTGAAGGATTATGTGCCAGTACTTCAAACACAATAAATTCCATTGAAGATGGCTTTGATGATTATATTATTGCATAAAGCGACAAAAATAAATCAAAGGGTTGTGTGTCTGTGTGTCATCAATTCATACGAAAGCAAATCGATGTAATGAAAATACAAACCTATTGATTGTACCCGATGATTTTTCAAAGAGTGTTTGCTTTCTATCCTTTATTATTCAAAGAGTCGAGAAAATCATCAAATGTCTATATACTATGCGTATATACATATAGAAGAGAGAGAGAGTGATATATAGAGAGAGATCAGTCGTTGTGAAAGTGGCGACGTGCGAATTGAAAACGATTTCGAAATACACTTGCAAACTCAGGCCCAAATTCATTGCATATTTATCGAAAAATAGCATTCGTTCTAATTATATAAATCAATTGATTGAAATTGAGTTTTTGGCGATAGAAAGTCGCGATTCTGCAGGGAGATAGAAAAAGATAGAGATAAAGGGATAAAAGAATTTCCCATACCAAATTGAATTTATTAATATGTGGAGTTTAAAGCACCGCACCAACAATGTCACACAATTGAAAATACGAATATTCAATATTGAAGTCACAATAAATATTATACGCTCTTATTTTGATAATTAAATAGATTTTAGTATGTACAATTTGTACACATTTTTAAAGCACATTTACACATTTATCATGAAAATAAAAATAGCTGTCGCACTCTCAAGCGAACATATTTTTAACAAAGTTCAAATACCACATTGTTTTTTTTTCTTCTCTCATTGCTCTGTACATTTCGCATATTGAAAATCGCTTGAGAAAGAGCGGTCGACACAACAGAGCGAGATAACCGCAATTTGTGATAATCAAATTTGTGGTTTCGGTGTCACACAAGGCATCTTTTTCCCATTCACGTACGTAAATTTCATACCGAGATCACTTTAAGTGACAAATGACAATCCCGCTACATTTTGCCGCTGTATCAAATGTTGCGAGATAAATTGAAGAGGCTAGAGAAAGAGAGATGGAAAGAGGGAATGAGTAACCGAGAGAGCGAGCACGAGAGCAAGAAAGACACGAAACGATGAATATTCGAATGCTAGTTTTAAATCATACAATAGAATTTGTTGCTTTGACAACATTAATTGAATGGCATTGATAAGAGATGCCGTTTTCTCTTGATCTCGTTCTCCTCGACGATTTGCAGCAAAATTTCAATTTGATTTTTTGTTGTTTTCATTTTGTCTCAAATTCTCTCCTTCACATGGGCTCAATTGTTTTTGTGTGTGGCGAATGTTAGGAGTAGTTAAGTGTAATTAGATATGGTTATATATTGAGCTTTAAAAAAAGCGATCACTTTGATTTTTGTTGCTTTCGGAGGCATAATGATATTATCAGTCACATCTCGGTCGTACGATGTATGTGGTTTTTGTTGTTAGACTCAATCATATTTAGATTTTTGTTCTATTTTTTCCGTTTTTCGAAATTCGTAAGCTTAAATAGTTTATATCGCTTAAATAGGAGAAATGTGGTTTTTTTACTTACCGGAAAACAATGTTCGGTATCGATCATGTGTGTGGTAAATTTAAGAATGCCCATATCGGTGCTGAATTTTATCGGCGTACTGATTACTTCGAATGGTGTTTGAACGGTGAATTTTCCATCGAATGTACCGACAGTGTTGGATGTGACACCGATTTGGAAAACAATCCATTCGCCGGGTTTGACAATGTTACAAAATTTCAAACCTTTCATGGTGAGTTTGCTGCAACCGGGAACCGTGATGCCAATATGTGCTGCACTCGATATCGTACCTTTCCAATTGTGAATATTTATTGGAATTGGATTATGATTAACAAGCGCTAACATTATTTGTGATTGTGTTGATAAGGGTAAAATGCCAAAATTGATGGTCTTCTCATCGAAACCGATTGCAGACTCACCGTCACCATCATCATCGCTCAGATTCGTCATATCGTTGATAATGTCGGCGGTTGTTTGTTCGGTAATTGGTAGCAAACGTTTAAGTAAACCATTAAAACTGAACAATTCAATGTCATAGACGCTGACATTTGTATGCAAATGAAATGAACGTGTAACTGAATGATGTGCAGCTGCTGGTTGTTGTACAATTTGAAAAATAGTCGACTCTTCACCGGGCGCCAATAATTTTGATTTGAAATTATCGGCACGAAAATAGATGAGCGTATCGGGTGACATTGTTAAATTTGTTATGGCCAATGCAACGTCAAAGTTATTTTTTATGCGAAAATCACGAACTACATTGGTTTTATCATTCGACGACGACGACGGCGACGATGGTAACGATAACGATGCTGACGCCGAATGTATGTTATTACTATTGCTACTGCTGCTGCTGCTTCTGGTGCTGGACTGATGAAATCGTGTTAATGACTCATTGTACTGTATTGAACCGCGTAAAATACCACCGACAAATGGTATTCGATATTGAAATCGTGATAATTTCATTGTTGCCGCTTGTGCATCTACATTTGCATTTTTTCCACGTGTTTGAATCAAAATATTACCGCGAAAAAATTGTTCGGCCGATATTCGGGACCAATCCACAGTTGCTGTCATTGTTTGATATGTTTCATTGGTTGTCTCTCTCGTATTCATTTCCAATGTGATGCCATTCCGTACATTATCGTCAGCTTCCACCGAATATCCGATCACATCGTACAATTCGATGCCCGAATTTAATAAACGAAATGTCACACTTTTCGGTCGATCATTTGTTCCGCTAAGGCCAAAATTTAAAAACGGTATGCTCGCATAAATGCCATGCTCTTTGAATATTTCGACTTCAATTGGTAATACAATGACAGCCTTTTCAAGTGCCGCATTTTTTCTCGCTGACACTTTTATGCGAATATATGCGGTCGAGTTGCCGCTGTGTGTTGCTGTAAATCGTACACGAATTACTGGTTTCGAACAATGTGGCGGTATTTCCCATAATGTTTGTGATCGTTCTGTGTTTGGTGTATTGGCGGTGCCGGCACTGATCGCATCATTCGAATCATCAACATCGTTTGTTGGCAATTCTAATTGAAATTGTCCACCGCTTGAATAGACTTCGACAATTTGTAATGGCGTATTGTATGGATTGTACATATAAATTTCTGGCATAAGTGTTGCATTCAATGGTGCTTTTAAACCAACCAATGGACTTAAACGATACGGACATTCAACACCTTTACCTTTTACTTCATAATTTAGTACACCAAATGATGTGTGAATGATGAGATGCGCTTGAATGATGGCTTGTTGTCGTGGCAAAAAGACAACGTTAAATGTTGTATTGCCCATTGGTGGCACAAGATTTTCTTCGAAAAATGAACTATAAAAATCACCCACCGAACCAGATATTGAACCAAGATACACGCTACGATTTACATGACGATTGAATATTGTGACCACTTTATTTGCCGTTTCACCCACCGACAATTCATCGAAATGCAAAAAATTTGGCTCGAACGTTAATTGTGACAAATCATTATTATTATCGACCGTCATCATTATCGAAGAATCGATAGTTAAGTGTGTTGCTTGTAATTCATAATTATTTTCAGCTGCTACTGCTGCTGCTGTCGCTGCTGCCGACGATGACGATGTTGTTGACGACGACGACGACGTCGCTGGTGAAGTTGACGATGAAGAAGAAGTTGTCGAAACGGCAGATGCACACGCGAATGCACCATGTCGTACGTTCAATGTGCATGGTATTAGTGTTACAGAAACGATGATAAACAACTGGTACAGAAATGAGCTAACGTGTCGTAACAGGCCAACCATCGGTATGCTCATGTTTGTTGTCGATGTTGTTGTTTTGTTTGGCCGCAGTTTCAACATTGTATTGTTCAAATTATTGTTTTTGTTGTTGGTTCTTTTGAAAAATAAAAATTAAATTTCTTCTATGTTTCGTTTTGTTTCGTTTCTTCTCATTCACTCTCTCAACACACGACGATAAATCGATAATGCATGTCGTCGAATCGCGAAAAAGAATACACCGACCATTGATTTGTGTTTAGGCATCCAAACAAAAAATGTTGCCGATAAAAAAATTCGAAATTATTATTATGATATATTGCAAACGCCAAGAAAAACGTTGGCTCTTTGGTACACACTGCTTGTCAAACTTTAAAAAAACAACAACAATTAAGCTTAGTTTTTTTCTTCTTTCTCTAAAATCTAGAACTTTTTCTTGCTACTGTTTTCACATTTGTCGAAATTCGTTTGTTGCACATTCACATGCAACGTCGTTCACAATTCGCTCGATCTGCCGCAAAAATTATGTAAACCGTTTCCTTTGCACATTTAAACACCGGGAATCGATCACTGGATTTTTTTTTTCTTTTTCGTTTTGTTTGGATATTTTGAATTTGTCGTGAAAGTCCTTTCGAGTTTTTTTACAAAAAAGAATTTTTCACACTTTTATTTGTTTTTTTTTTCTTATCACACACAATTTACTTTTAGAATCACAGTGTACATTTCTTCTCTTATTCTTCTTTCGATTCAATTTTGTTTTTATTTAAATTGGCGTAAAGAATATCTATTTTCAGATCCGTTTTTATTTAATTCTTCATGAGTGTTTTTCATTTCTTCTTCGCTTTGTGTGCTTGTGTTTTTCTTTCGCCTTTGGTCGTGTGTGATTATTTCTCTCTCTCAAAAAAGTGGCTTCACATGTATAAAGTTGAATGAAGCAATCGTCAGAGCCGAAGGAATAAAAAAAAAGTTTAAATAAGATTGTTGTTGAAAATGAAAAACAACACACAATTTCATTCGCACACTTTTCCCACACTGTTGCTTTTCCACCACACAGAATATGTGCTGTTGTCACGTTGAACGTCACTTGCGTTCTAAAATGATTCTCATGTGCGTCAGTCTCACTGAACGATAGACGACTCGTTCAGCTGTGTATTGTATTACTCTTTTTCGCCTTGGTGACGTGCGCTCGCTCCGTCTCTTATTCTCTTATGCTCCAATGTTCCGTTGTAAATGTCTCTCTAAAACGCCGAATGTCATCCATGCCATAGATTGTGCGAAAAAGAAATAGAAAACAACATTATTATTTTTTTTTTTTGAATATTAGAACCGATTGACAATTTTAAAGCACCAAAATAATAACAAAGCAAGCATAGCACATTAAAATGTGCAGTTTTTTGTTTCGTATATTTGGGCAATGAAAAAAAAGAGAATAAAAACAATGACAACGATGATCAAAAAAAAAACACACAGCGAGAAAGTGAGAGTGTGTGTGTGTGTGTGAGAGAGAGAAATGAATGCATTTCACAAGGATTGAATCATTGACATGAGATTCTAAATGCAGCGATAAATTGGCGCTGTCTATCTCTCTGCCTTGGTTCGACGGCTTTTTATAAATTTGTTTTGATGCGATCGGAAGTGAACACGAGAAGTGCGCCAAAGTATTTTGACAGCAACACATATACATACACTCACTCACACACATACAACAAGGTGCAATTCATAGCTTTTAATCGCATCATTCGAAATTCCGTTTGGCGCGCGCCCGCTAAATCTCTCTTATTCTGTCTCTGTCTCTGTCTGTCTCGCTATTTTTATTTCGTTCTATGTGTATTGTTCTGTCTTTGTCTATCAGGTCACCCGATATGCTCTCGAACCACGGTGTTTCACAAATAATCAACAAAATTATCACCAATGCTATAATTGATAGCAAATAAAAATCACATTTGGTATTTCGCTCTCTCTCTCTTTCTCTCGCTCTGTTTATGTGCTTTGCTGTTAATTCGATCGATTGAGAAATGGTTGCGATTTGTTTTCATTCGGTGGTATCTGTGTTTTGTTTAGACACTGTCCATCACAAATAAGCCCCAAATGAAATGGCCATAGCCGTATCCAATGGAATTTTTGGAATGGTCTTCAACGGACGAATCACTATTGAAATTTCCCAATGTTGACCTTACGAAAATTTGTAATCACACACGACATCTGTTCACATCCACTCACCTAATTTTATGATTATATATTGTTGTCTATCGGGCTGTTTGTTTGTCTGTTTTTAATTTCACGTTTTATTTTGTGTGATTTTTCTGCTTTTGTCATTCACATAATCTGTGTTTGATTTGATGTGTGTTGGTCTCACTAATTCTCTAAATTGATTTCAGCTGGTGTGTCGATCCTGTGTGCTATAGATATGAATGCATTTTGCAATTCTTTTTCCATTACACACACAAACAAATATATTATTCTTTTTTTTTTCTTAAAAAAGAGCACACACCACACGCTTTTAATTTCCGATTAATTTCCTATTTTCCAACCAATACTCCACTTTGCACACCAAATCGCCCAATTTGTAAATTCATTTAAAACAACAAACACCAACAATTATTTGTATCGAACGACATTTGTGTGTTATTTATTTTACTCGTTTCGTATGTTTTTCTCAGTTTGTCGCGAGAATTTACGTCAAAAAAAATGTCGTGTTCGGTGTGTGTCGTTTGCGTCTTCAATGTGATATACATATTCTTATTTGTTTGCTCTTTCTCTTCTTTTTTTCTCTCTCTCTCGCTTTCGCTCGAAATTCACGACATTGAATTCGAAGTCGACACATAAATGTGCTTTTTGACTATTGTTATTTGTGTGGAATTGAACATTGTATGTGTTGATGTGAGAGCATGCATAGATTTTAGGGTGACACACTCACATCGTTTAACTGAATGACAGAAATGGCAAATGTGCAACATCTAAATTTTAGTTTTTCAAATAATATCGATTTTGTGGGGTTTTAAAATCGATTTTATTTTGTGTGTCAATTGCTTTGAAATCAAAGTGCCTTTGAATTGAATTTCCTCGGAATCGAATGGAATCGAAGTCAAATAGCAAACTTTGATTGAATCGCGAAATTTACCTTTGGAAAATTTAAAAAAAAGTGCCCATACTTTCTTCTAGTCAAAATAATTTCGCGAAAAAAGGGTAATGGAAACCGAAAAATCGAATAAATTCCATGAATTTCGACATTTTGTATATGTTTGTGCATTTGTCAAATACGTGCCACCCTAACACGGTCGTGTATGTCAGAATGAGTTCGTTGGTTAAGTGCGTTCGTGTGTATTGGTGTGGTTTTGACTGATATGTTTTAATCACATTTTGAAACCGATTAAACTACAGAGTCTCAATTTTGTTTTCATCTTGTTCCTGATTAATAGACTATCGCGCATAAAATGACATAAAATGAATCGAATCAAAATAAAATGTGCTGCTGTCACGCTGAACCAACAAAATTGAGAGAGATAGAAAATAAGAGCATAGTTGATTGTAAGAATATGAATTTGACGGCTATATAATTGTGTGTATTTGTGCGCGGCATTTGCTGTCTGACGTCTCCTCGCTCATTTCCATGTGACCAATCGAAATAAAATTGTGCGAGAGAGCGAAAGAGAGATGGAGCGTTTCATTCGAATGATGTGTATCACATTTCTATGCGATGGCCTATGCAATATTTGTCATTTTATTTCCCTCTCATTTTTCATTTGGCACGACATGAATTTCGTCATTCGTTCGTGCAAACATTTTTACCGCAAACAATTCAAGAGGCCAGATGCATCGGCAGATGGCCATAAGATATGCATAATATATTCCTTTTATATTCATTTAATTACACATTGCGTGCAATTTTAGAGATACAAGTTCGCCATTCAATGCTACCTATTCTGCACGATTGGGGTTAGATTTGAACATTCGTTTGAAATAGAACTGAACATTCTAATAAGAATGCATCGAAATTCATGATAGAAATGAAGCAAACTCAATTGGAATCACCGAAAATGGACTACGTGACTTGGTGAAAATAGTTTCGAAAACTGAACCAACCGAAATTTTCCTTTTGATTACCACCAAATTTTCGGACAAAAAACAAACAATTTCCAAATTTGTTAGCAAGAATTTTGTAAAAATAAATTTTTAGTTTGTGGAAAATGTATAAACTGAATTTTCCCCTTTGAAAATGTCTATAAACATTTTCAAATCCATTTTACTGCCGCATGTATTGGAAGTCATCCGTCTATGTGTGCGTGAGCAAATGTCATTCAGTTATGTTTCTATTCATCTTGTCAAATGTCAAATAGTTTGACGTTTCTCGAATGTTTTCAACTTTGTACACGTTTAAACAATCTGTCTCATCCATTAGTGTACATACTCACTGATTACTTTCTAAAATAAAAAAGTGTTCAATAGCAGTGGTGTTTTGCAAATTTTTTTTAATTTCAAATATACATTTATTCCATTTTATTTGAAAACTAAAAGAGTAAGAAAATCTAAATAAATTAAGAAACGAATAGAGCTTAAAAATGGTTGATGCAAATACACGAAAAACACTTAGTGGCATTCCGTTGTTGCAAACAAAAGCTGGTCCACGCGATAAAGAACTATGGGTACAACCTAGGGGCAATTCACTTAAAAATAACCTTTCTATTATTTAATAATTGTTATTGATTCTTTTTCGATTATTGCGATTATTTTCGATTATTTCGATTATTTCCAATTAATTCTTTTCTTTTGTGATTCTCCCCTTAGGTACAACGATTAAAAGAAGAATATCAAGCACTTATCAAGGTAATTATGTTCCATGGCACCATTCGTCCATCTGAACGAAACTAAAAATTGAATAAAATTTAATCGAAAATCTATTTTATTTGCAGTATGTTCAAAATAACAAAGACTCAGGTACTGACTGGTTCCGTTTGGAATCGAACAAAGAGGGCACCAAATGGTTTGGAACATGCTGGTGTATGCACAATTTGCTCAAATATGAGTTTAAAGTTGAGTTTGATGTAAGTATTTTCAATCAAAATCAGATGTGTCAAACATTTCACGAAACGATTCCATTTTTACAGATTCCCATCACGTATCCGGCGACCGCGCCTGAAATTGCACTACCAGAACTCGATGGAAAAACCGCCAAAATGTATCGAGGCGGTAAAATTTGTCTCACCGACCATTTTAAACCGTTGTGGGCGAGAAATGTTCCCAAATTTGGAATTGCACATGCAATGGCCTTAGGCTTATCTCCTTGGCTTGCTGTTGAAATTCCAGATATGATAGAAAAAGGCATTGTTACCTACAAAGATAAAGCCGAATCATAATCAACAACAACTGTATCGATGTCAAATAATACGAACTCACACGATGGCTTGGCAATTTATTTTATTTTATAAATTAATTATTTTGTAGATTTGTTTTTCGCTTCAATTTATAATGAATTTTTGTTGGCAAATAAACTGATTTTTCGATTCAAAATGATAATAACCTTTTTTGGGGCTATTTAATGAAATCATATTTAAAACAAGAACTCCTAATTATCGAAAAAAGGTCTTTTCTACTGACCGACACAATTTCTCAGCATGGTCATAGCTGGGCAGACTGAAAAATTCAGGGGGGGGGGATTGGGGGGGTAATTTTCTCAAAAACTCCTAGCAAAATAGGAAAATTTCATCTATGATCCAAAAACCCTAGCAAAATGAGAAAAATTCTATCCAAAATCATGAATTTTGTAAAGGGGTAACGCAAAAATTTGTTGATTTTGTAAAGGGGTAACGCTAAAATTTGATGCCTCAGGAGGGGGTAATCCCCCCCCTCCCCCCCCTGTCTGCCCAGCATGGTTCAATAAGAAAATTGGATCAGAAAACAAAAATTCTTTTCTATTTCGAAGAAGCCAAAAAAATGTTTTTTTTATTCTGGTTTGGTCCTTGATAGTTCCGTTTCCCTCGACGGTTTTTTGCTGGTTTTGAATGGATAAATGATTAAAAAAAACAAGAAAACGATGATAACATTGTAATCATTTTTTTTGCATCACATGCAAATTTCCGAGAGAGATTTCCCATTTTCTGAGAAAGATTTCCGAGAGACCAAATTACCCCCTTAGAAATGATTCCCACCCAGAATTGCGCGAGAAGATTCAATGACGATTAAGTTAATAAAATATATCATTATTTCATAAGAGTGACCTTCAATGTAATATATTTACCTTAATCCCCGAGAAAAGAAGGAATTTATTAGGAAAACCAAACGAAAGAAACGCTAATAAGTATTGAATCCAATCTATTCCATTTTCAATATATTTCTGTATTTGATTAGATAAAAATGCTTTAATTGTTTAAAATAAATAAACAATATGTCAAATTTCTTGTGCAAATAATTGTTTATTTTAATTGTAATTGTTCATGGTTCGAGAAAAAAAAACTTGTTTGCGTTGCAACAACAAATCTATTTCTATATTACATTTGGTGCAAAAACACTCGCGTATGTTCCTTATCCAACAAAATTGAGCCGTATAAATACCGCGAAATTCATGTATGAATTCAGTTATTTTAAGCTTGTCAATCGGATCAATATGAATTTAGCAGTATTTTTGGTGTTTGGATGCGCTGTTTTAACACAGGTATTTCATAAATATTCTTACTTGAATTACATTCTTGAACATTAGCATAAATCGTTTTTATTTTTATCCAATGAAAAGGTGATGGCTCAACCCAATCCGGGAAATCCGACTAGTGGCACATCTAAAACTTTGGAGTTACCCAAACGAAATATTAGCGTGGCACACTATCGACCCCGGGCACAAGATTTTCTCACCAATTTAGATTCAATTCCAACGGCAACAAATTCAATTCGTGTTATTGAGCCAGTCATTTGTTCTCGAATGAGAGGAAATGTAAATGGAAATTTAAAACTTGTGTACGATCATATATTTAGAGAGCTTAAAAGATTTACTGGTGTAGTTATAACGAGTACATCGGCAAATGTGCCAGACGCAATAAATGACGCTCAAACGGCCACCGATACTGCCATCAAAGGACTTTCAGATCTTGCAAAGAAATTCCTCACAGAGATCAATGAGAAATGTGCGAAACTGACGTCGGTCGATACATTGAGCACCATTAATCAGAGCATTGAAAAATTTCGAGCCACTCAATTGTCCAACTGCATTAAATTGGCCTCTATTCCCGATCGCTTTGAAAGTGTAATGCAAAGTTATTATAAGCCAGTTGAGGATATTGTTGGCACCAATTAAAAAGATCGATTTATACAAAATTCGATAGATTTCATTTTTGTTTGTTTGCAAATTACAAGAGAATATAAATAAATAAATATTAAAAAATCTAACACAATTGTTTCAATTCAAAATAGAATAACTTATGAAAAAAATCCCAAAGTGAATATTTCACATAAAATCAACAATTTTTTATTTCAAATTTTAAGAAATAAACCGAACAGTGTATAAAAATAAAGGGTTCCTTAAATCCTAGGAAATTAAAATGAGATCTCGACTGACATGTCTATCTCAGTGAAACAACATGTAACACTGCTATTAAGGTCAACCATCACGGTTTATCTAACTATTTTATATTTTTCTGCGTTTTTACTGCATTTTTGGGTTTCTGCGTTTATTTTTCTGCGTTTTTATTTTCTGCGTTCCGTGAAGAAACCATTACAGCAGAATTTTAATAATTCCAAAATTAGCGATTTACGAAGGTAATTTTACGATTCTTATCTTGAATTTTAACCAATTTGGCTTATAATTAACAAAATTACACCCACATTTTCATTCATTATAAAATAAGATATATTCGTGGCAAGTATGGACTTTGTTGTTTTTGCTCAAAATAAAAAGGATCTAGTTTCAATTTTGATTTTAGCAATTATAAATGGATATTGTATGAAACTAATTCCGTTCAAAAAAATACAAAATAATTAATTTAAAGTCTCATAATAGTGATAGAGACAAAATCAATATTAGAAGCGAAAGAAACCACTTATTTTGAAAAGTAAACAAATGCTGAATGGCCACACGCCACAATATTTTTGTCGAATTCTCGGAATTCGAGAAATTCATTAAATTAATGAAGATTATTAAATAAATAAGTGAAGGTAACCGTCTTTTGTTTGTTGATCACCACATAGTTCCGCCTCAAAATGCTGACATTGAAGCGTGCTGTGTTGTTGGTTTCCAGAAAGGTTAACCGAAATTAAATTAAATAGAGTAAGTAAATAATTCTATTTGTTAAAATAGATGGTTATTTGCTGATAAATAGATTTGTAGATTTGTTACAAGCAAAATAATTTATCGGCAATACAAACAATTCGTATTGATATTGTCAACGTATTGTCTGCCGATATTCTGTATAAATTGATCGTATTTTGGACGACGAACCAGCAGTCATAATCGATTAATTCGCTTGAAAATATGAAGTGGTTATTGGTGCTTTTCGTTTGTATTACTTTAAAGGTAAGAGAATTTTGGGAACAAAACTATTCGTCTACTTATTTTTATATATATTTTATATTTTGCTTGTCGCATAGGCCAGTTCAGAATTTTTTTTTCATTGTTACTTGGCAATAAATTATAAGATTCTGGTCTAGAAGCTTGACAATATGAGCAATTTTTTTGGATTCTGTTAATAAACCATAATTGTTTTACTTTCTCCATAGCAAGTAGTATTTGCTCAGCCAAATCCGGGCAACACAAATACACCGACAACTCTTTTAAAACCTAAACGTCCTGTGATATGTTTATCTATTGACACGAATGTAAGGGATTATGCACCAAATTATGACTCATTGATAAATACATTTGCATCGTTGTCGTATCGAGAAAATCCAGCTTTGCGACGACTTCGTGAACATAATTCAAACGTACAACGAGTATTTAGTCTGGATAATATACGACGATTTTTACGATATAACACACAAAATCCAAACCTTACTGCCGACGAGAAAAACAAACAAAAAACTACGGTCAATGAGGCGCTCAACAACTACAAAACAGCCACAGCGACTTTTCTAACCGAAATCAATACATTGGCGACATCCATCGATCCAACAACTACCATGCAAGAATGCCAACAAACCGCACAAAGTGCAGCAATCGCATCAATTGGTGATGCCAACGCATTGACAGCATATTCAAAAGAAATGTGCGAGAATTTAAACAATGTAATAGCTATTTTTGAAACAGCACTTGAAGGTGCATATTCTAAAGTCGGTGCTAAAGCACCATAAATTTTCAGAGATACATTTTAATTTGTTTCAATTATACATTTTTCAAATATATTGCATATTTTTTGTCACTTTCAATAAATTTGTTGAAGAAAAGCCAATTGTTTTTTACTAATTATCATACAAATGAACTTTATCTAGAAGATGTTTCGTTGGCATGCCGAGTAAGATTTGAAAAAAAAAATGAAGAAGTTACCCAATTAATTTCAGATAAAAGCTTTCAAAAAAAATCTCTACTTGCTCTCATATCTTTGGTAAAATCCGGAATTTTTTGAAATCTGTATATTATTGATATCGGCGAAGAGATAGAGATACGACACTTAATGAAAAATTAAAACGCTTTCGGGAAGTCTTGATTTTTTTCAAAGCATTACTTGGATCTGCATGTTTTCAAGTCTTGTAAACTGTATATTCGCCTGTAAATTGTGAATGTAATATGATTGTATGAAAAAATCAGTTAAAATGAACATCCAAACAATGGAATTAGGAAAATTTGAAAAAAATACATTCCGTGGGTTAAACACTTTCGATGTCAAAATCTGCATTACAACCATTAATCAAACATTCACACGAAGTTTCGAATGTTGTGACATTCTTCCAATAGATGGCGTCGCCCGCTGTTGCCCACTTGAGTGAACACACATTTTATCTCCATCAGTGTGAAGACTTGTTATCTGAATGTCAAAAATCTCGTGTTCCATACAGCACGCAATATTTCTAGTGTGAGCAGCCGGTTCATTACAACTAGACACAACAAAGAAAAAACTGAACTCCTATTCGAATATTCAAGAAAAATTCGTGTATCAAAGTAAATTGTTACCTATTCATTTATATTTTTCCAAAGAAAATAATTTGTGTGAAATTGATTTTAGATGGCTCAAAGTAAATTGAACGATTTGGCTGGTAAATTTGGAAAGGGCGGACCACCTGGATTAGGAATTGGATTAAAATTGTTGGGTGTTGCTGGTGCCTTGGTCTATGGTGCTACTCAATCAGTGTATACCGGTATGTGCAACCATAATTTCATGGAAATTTCGATGAAGAATGTATCATGTTACGGAAAATTCTCTTGTCATAACCTCACTTTATTGAAAAAATGAATTTCACAATACATTGGCTCTGTTGCTACATGAAAAGAAACAATTGTGATTTACATCATACATTGATGCGATAATATTGCAGGTTGTTTGATTTTAATTGTGAAATTCACTACAAAAATGTTGAATCAGTTTTATTTTCCGTGGGTTCTTTTTTCGTTCCATGTTTTTTTGTTATTTTGAGATTATATAATATCTATGACCACTGATATCATGTTATTATGACCATATATTTTACATCCAATTTGAAAATAAATGGAATCAAAAGTGTTTTATGCGTTATTGTTTGTTTCTCTTTGTCCAGTCGAGGGTGGTCATCGTGCAATCATCTTTAATCGTATTGGTGGTGTACAAAATGATATTTACCCCGAAGGATTACATTTCCGCATTCCATGGTTCCAATATCCCATCATTTATGACATTCGTTCACGACCACGAAAAATCTCATCGCCAAGCGGTTCCAAAGATTTACAAATGGTAAACATTTCATTGCGTGTTCTATCGCGACCGGACGCAATAAATTTACCAACCATGTACCGTCAATTGGGTTTGGACTATGATGAAAAAGTATTACCATCGATTTGTAATGAAGTACTGAAAAGTGTTGTAGCCAAATTTAATGCATCACAATTGATTACACAACGTCAACAAGTAAGTACAAGCATCATGGAATCATTTAGGTTGTCATTTGAACAGATTCATTTATATAAGCAGAATTTTGGCTGAAGCGGCTATTGATAGTTGTTGGTCATCAGACGAATTAATATTTTTATTTATTTATTTTTATATGAGAGTAAATGAGTTTAAATGTGCTGTTGGGATAATAAACACCTCCAATGAAATAACGGATCGATTTTTCGTTGCCCCGTTTATGCATTCATCAGTTACTGATGAACAGCAACTATCAATGACAGCAGCTAGTTATTTTCAGCAAAGGGTTTGCCTATAAGGATCATGCCTGGCCAGGAGTTGCTATTGGCACCGGAGAAGTGCAGGCAATCATTCTCTAGATTTTTTCAAGTTATAAGAAAATTGCCTCTATCAATGGTGTCATGACAGCTCTGATGCAAATAAAAAATAACAAAAAAATCTCTCAAAACAACACGAAAATTGCCATCTTTTCGTATGTAATTAATATATTAATGTAAATTAATTGTGTGATTAACCAAATTCCAGGTTTCGTTGTTGATTCGCCGTGAGCTTGTTGAACGGGCACGTGATTTCAATATTATTTTGGACGATGTATCATTGACTGAGCTCAGTTTTGGCAAAGAATATACAGCTGCTGTTGAAGCCAAACAAGTGGCACAACAAGAAGCACAACGTGCTGCCTTCTATGTTGAACGTGCCATCCAAGAGAAACAACAGAAAATCGTACAGGCTGAGGGAGAAGCTGAAGCAGCCAAAATGATATCCTTTTTCAAAATACACATTTTCAACATTTTTATTCCAATTCTATTTCCCATTTTCGATTTTTATTTTTTACCAACGCCATGAGCGTATATTTTCCTTAACCGATATGTTTACTTAGGTTTAGCTGTGGCCCGTAATCCAGGTTACTTGAAATTGAGAAAAATTCGGGCTGCCCAAAGCATTGCACGCACGGTAATTAGAATGTTTTGTTATATATTTTTCCAGCTTTTTCGAATCTTTTAATCTAATTGATTTTTTTGTCATTTCTCTCTTAAAAAAAACAACGCAGATGGCCAACTCACAAAACAAAGTGTATTTGTCAGCTAATAGTTTAATGTTGAACATCCAAGATGCAACCTTTGACGATATGACGACAAAAGTACAAAGTAAGAAATAGACATGGAATCATCATCAATGCAATGAAAAATTTGAAGTAGCAATTTATTAATAGAAATGCAGAAATATAAAAGTGTTTATATTTTTGCAATCGATTCGCATCGATGAAAAAAAAAACAATTTATACCAAGTATAGAACAAGAGAGCATTTAGGGATCATCTCCAATAAAATATTTGCTAAAATCAACAAACATATACACATATTTTTTTTAAATCACCCTATTGAACAATTTGCTTGAACAAAAACAAATTTTTGTCCAAAAAAGAACTTGTTGTTGATGGTCAAATGCAGATTCCAAAGTGCAAAAGTCAATCAACAACTTCTTTTATTTTCTTTAAATCAAAAAAATCCTCTTTTTTCATATTATGGTCGTTGCATTTGCTATTATATAAAACCGTTTTCTCTCTCTGTCTCTCTTTGTGCTGCATAAGAATCATATGGAACGGATAGTCATTTGTAGTTTGTTGATGGAATAAATTAACCATGGTAAAAAGCACACACAAAATAAGGAATGTGCATAGTTTTTAAATAAAAAATATGTAGTTGAAAAATGAAAAATATTAAACACGTTCTTTGAAAAAACCTATCTAAACATAGAATTTATTGTGCAAGAAAAATTAAAATTCTACATATTATTTCAGCTGATTGAAGATGAAAATAGCGAAAAAAAGAAAGAAAATTACAATCGATGCCGTTCCATTCGTATTTGGCTCTCATAATCAAAACTTAAATATTAGTCTTTTAAAACCAGAATTCTCACCTATTGAGAATCGATTTGTCTACACCGATTGATTTTTCTTTCTTTTTTTTTTCTCTCCTTACATCGGCTCGCTCATTTTGTTTTTGGATAGACGATAATCAACAATGGTTTGTATTTGATAAAGCCGCACAAACAAGGACACTCACATCAGAACAATCTTCTACAAATACTATTGGAAACATAGCTGGTGATGCTGCAACTAACTTCATCCAACAATAGAACAATGAAATCAATCCAACTGCATTTGGGGGATGTATAGTCGAATGTTCGCACATGTGATAGTCGAAACTTGGGACAAGGTTTAAATAATTGTACCAAAAATGTACTTAATTGTACCGCAATTTATTTTTAATTGTACCTTACATTCGACTATACATCCCATTTGGGTACATATATTTTTGTATTCTTCGGATTTTTTTTTTTAAATTCGAAAAATTTTGCAATGTTTTTTATTAAATTTTCTATTCGATGCTTAAATGATGAACAAACCTATTTTTTTTCAAAGAATTGTTTTTTTTTTTTTGGAAAATAAAAAAAGAACATAGATATAGATCTAATTGACTCGTTTTGAATCATTAACTTAATCCTTCTAAAAGCTCTTTAAAGAATTTGTGGGTGGTGGTCAATGCCGACAATATTTTCTTGGACAAATTATTTACCAAAATATTTTAGTTCATGATGATATATTTTAAACAGAACAGAGAAACAGAGTGGCAATTGGTGCCTTCAATGTCGATAAATTTACTGAAATTTTGGTTGAAAAAATATCACATGTTGGTTTATTTTAGAACCTATTTAAACATGGAACTCGTTTTAGTGTACAAAAAAAGCGACTGGGCGTTTTAGGATAACTTGACTATATATTGTAATCAATATTGTAATCAGCAAAATTTTGAAAAGCGTAAAATCATATTTCGTTGTAAATAAATAAAATATTTAGTCATGAATAAAAGGGCAAAGAACTGACTCAGCGTGTATTTTATTGATTTTGTATCAGTTATCCTTCGAATTCTATATCAGTTCCAGTAAGCAAAATTATATGTTTTCGTCTTTTAATTTACTTACCTCCTCATCATGTCTTCCTGTAATTTATTAGTTTAATTTGAAAGAAGTTTTTTTTTCTTACAAATTTTCTCGATCGGATGTCATCAGCACGAGCCATGCGAAGAAGTAATTTCTCGTCGTTATTGATGCGAGCATGTAAATCATTCACTCTGCCTTCAATGTTGTCCACAGTTGTGTTCAGTTTTTTGATTGCCTGCTCATAATTTCGATTTAGCTCATCTAAATTCCAAATGGTGGTTACCAATTCCGTTTTTAACGTGGAAATATTGTTTGTCTGTTCATTTGAAATGAATGTAGATTGATTTAATCGGTCAATTTTATTTCCCAGGTTGATCACTTTGGCTTTTAAAACGAAAATTTCACTTTGATCATTGGTGATTGGTCGGACTGATGGCTGAATGGCTGGCTTTCTATTTACGATAGCATTCACAACATCAACATTATTTGTTGGTGTTTCTGTTGTTTAATCGTCCGTTGACGTAAAATTATTTGAACCATCATTATCAAGAACTCTTGCAAATGTTCCGGCAAATATAGAATAAATGCCAGTTTCATACAATTAAATATTAAATGCATGCTGAATGCAATTAAACACTTTGATTATTATCAAACTTTATGAAGAGAATTACAGCGCAATTTCTTAGTTATTCGAATGAAATGATGGCAAAGACTTCAGTGGCTGAAGCGGGAATAAGACGTTGATGTCAAGTTCACTCATTTATATGCGATCTTTATCGGACACGCTCTATTGAATCGTTATAATGATTGAAATCAATCTATTTCTATGCAATTGTGAATCATTGATTTGACTAAATGTGCAATTATTGAGTTACTTTGAATTTCATCATTCAATTGCGAAACTAAATTTGGATTTTCCTGTTACGTCCATGTTTTTGATAATAACAGAAATCGCAAAATATCACGACAGGGAAAACTCAGAGATATAAGAAATTGTAATAGTGGATCTATGACCACAACATATTTAAATGCATTGATTGTGTTGTCCCAACTGAATTTTGTATGAAAAAAAGCTTGTTGATAATAATATTTTTTTCAGCATGTTTACATTTGACTTAAACTGAAAAAACCCGTCCGCGATAAGGCAGAATGGAAAAAAATGAAATTCAATGTCAAAATGTGAATTACGAAACTAGTGAGCATTTTGTTGCATTTCCATAAATTCTATTTATAATAATCACACTGAAGATAATCACACTGAAGTATTAGCAATATCAAAAATTAAAGTCATTAATCCATGTTGGAGGTGTTTGCGTGTGTCAAGTATTATTTAAGTAAGTAGTCAATAGTTCTCTTAAAAATGGAATGTTATTAAACTTTCTAACGAAATTGAATTTCATTTTGATTGGAATGCATACATGTATTTAAATATGACGATAGGCCAATATGTTTTTTTTCAGCCATACATTCAGCCATATCAGCTTGAAACTCTCGTATCATCATATTCAGTAGATATAGAGTGAAGTAGAAAGCCACAAGTTTTTTTATTTCATTGTGATGGGATTCTCATTTTTATTGTTCATTTCGGCAATATTTTCAGTTTATTTCATCGAGTGCATCGGTTAAGGTCTTCATTCCTCCAATTAGACATTTATGATGATGAAAATAAAATATTTCATTGTTTTATTATTTTGGTCTCTTAAAATGAGAGCTGCATATACTGATAATAATTTGGATCCACAATTGTTATTTGCCGCTAAAATCGGTAATTAATTATCCTTACACAGAGCCCGAATCTTGATTATTCTACAAGCACAAACACCTGAACAAACGATCAACGTTTTCTAACAAAATTTTGGTTGATCGAGAGAGTCAATCTAGATTTTTACAAAAATAATGATAATATGTTAAGATCTTTCTCAAAAATCGGGACGTGTTCAAGTTAAATGAATGTATGGCTTAATCTCATTATTTTGCATTCAATTTCTAGGATACCTACAGGCAATCAAAGATAAATTAGAACATGGTGCTAATATAAATGCCGTAGATGAAGAAACGAAACGTACACCACTCCATCAGGCCATTAATGGGGGTAAATATACATCTTTGAAAATTGAAGTTGAAATTTCCCGTGAAGTTTAATCAAAACATTTTTCATACTAGGCAACATAGAGGCAATTAAGTATCTGATCGATAATGGGGCCGACGTATATGCTGAAGATAATTTGCTTCAATCAATGCTTCACATTGCTGCTCAAAAGGGTAATTCTACACATTCTTGCACTGAAATGGAATAATTAAATATAGTTTCATCGAATTGAATGCTAGGTAACATAGACGTAATCAGATATCTAATTGATAATGGGGCTAACGTAACCGCGGAAGATAAAGATTTACGCACGCCGCTTCACTATGCTGCTTCGGGCGGTAAGTGAACGCATTTGCAAATTATGAAGAACATATTAGTATCTTATCATGTTCAATGCTATTGCCAGGTCATGAAAAAGTTATCTTAAATCTATTGGTAAATGGTGCAAATGTAAATGCCGAAGACATGGAAAAGAAAACTCCGTTGCACTACGCTATTCAAAAAGGTAATTTCGCACCTTTTTATACCAGACATAGCTTTAAAGGGTGGTGAGTTTAAGGTTTCTATTAAGCATGTAGTTTCCCTATTTTAAAAGCAAATATTTCAAAAGTTATCTATTTAAACAAGATTCAATTTGGTTTTGAGAATGAATACTATATTTTTGCAGGTCATACTGATGCAGTAAATTTATTGATGCGGGCTGCTATATTGCGTGGTTTGAAAGCTTTGTTTTTAATAATAAAAAATTACAAATATTTCATAAAATTTGTGAATATTTTTTTAAGTGTCCGCATCGAAATTAGCTTGCACAAAATATTCAAGACGGCGAGTTACAGCAAGTTTTAATGTTCGAATTGTGTCAGGAGATGTGGTCGAAAGAGGTGAATTTCCTTGGATGGTAATTCAATTTGAAATTGTTGCAATATGCTTGTATTTATAAGGAAATGTTTCTTTGCCATTTAAAGGCTGCACTATACTATGTAAATCCAAATAACACCACCACAAACGATTTTAGATGTGGAGGAACTATCATTTCCGAGCGTTATATTATGACTGCGGGACATTGTGTTCCAACATCCCGAAAACCTGTTCAAGTTCGAGTTGGTAAAGTGAGTAGAGTAATATGTTTGTGCAGTAAAAATCATTCAATATTCATTCCATTTTTCTGAACAGATAACTCTTAATGATACTACTGATGGTTTGATGGGTAAATATTATTCCATTGAGGTAAACTAATACATAAACCTTATTTTATTTGTCAACAATTTGTTTGAGTAAAATTGTTTATTGTTACAGAAAATCATCCGGCATCCAGAATATGATGCCGCAACGCTCAAAAATGACATTGCATTAATTCAAATTCGAGGAAGTTTTGAGTTTAGCGATGATGTTGCACCAGCATGCTTGCCCACGAACACGCAGGATTTTAGTTATGATCTGATTGTGACCGGGTGGGGTACTACTGATCCAATGAGTAAGTTGATCTTCTCAATAAATACATATACATGAGCAATGACTATGAAATTCTTGTATTAATCTAAATATTTAATTATCCAAAGGAGCCAATTCCCTTTCGAATGTGCTTCTTAAAGCCAATCTAAAAACAATGGTTTCGAAAGATTGTAACTCAACAATGTTGGAATGGAATAAAATGTCAAATTTAACGCAGTTACTAAATGGCATTAACGATGGACAATATTGTGCATACGATCCAAAAGGGAAAAGAGATGCGTGTCGAGGAGATAGTGGCGGACCTCTTCAATTTATACGGGAGAGAAAATCAAGTACAGCGACCGTAGTTGGCATTGTTTCATTCGGTCATAGCTGTGGTCTTGAATTGCCAAGCATCTATACTCGTGTGGGATATTTCAGAAAATGGATCGAATCCATCGTTTGGCCATAATTATTAAGCTAATGATCTAAAATTAAACCGATTTATATTTTCAAATATCAAATGAATGCCATGATGAAAAGAGATAGTTATCAACTGATATTAAAAAATAAAACACGATGAATTAAAAATAAAAACCAATTTTATTTTAATTTTTGTTGACATCATTTTGATAGCATTGAATTATTTAAAATGCAAATGTGATGAAAAATTTTGAAACTAACTATGCTTCGCTCAAATATGTGCAATTGCGTCGGTTAGGTCTTTTATGATTTTTTCGAAAATAGCATATTTAGACATATCTGCGAGAAATCCTCTGTATTCTCTCAATTCTACGGACTTGAGTAATGTTAATGGTTTGGATGGAATTCGAACTACATCTGTACTGGTCACATAGTCATCTGGACAACTTGTATCAGGGATGGATTCCAACTTGTCGTTTGTTCCGTCTCCGACGTAAACATGTTCACACGCAGTACCGAAACCCTCAAATTCACCATTGGTTGTATGTTTTATGCCGCTTGTTTTACATGTTACGGCATTTTCTCCCAGTAGCCCTTGCTTTCCATTAGATTTGTTGATATTTGGTGGTAGTCCTCTATTGGTTAAATGATGGAATTCGGCATAACCAAAAGCACCGCCCAAACCAGCTGCAAAAAAATAAAATATTAATAAAACTGTATCAAAACTTTACTCATTTTTTTTTTGTATTTTCTTACCAGCACCACCCTTTCCAGTTGCACCACAGCATTCAGTTGGAAACAAAATATGTGTGTAAAACACGTTCTCCTGAAGTAGTGGAAAAGTGTCTCTCATTCTTTCTTCACATGAATTTTCTGTGACGGTGACAATTTTCGCTCCCGATTGAAATTGAATTAAATCACTGTACCACTCATGTGGCGAGTAAACAATATTATTTCCCAATTTATCCCACTTTATGTTAAGGTCTTGATTGCCAGTTCCACTCTGTCCGTTTGAGCCGTTGCCACCAATTACCTCAATTGTCAATAATTCGCCGCTTATAACTTCATTTGCCACACCGAAAAAGTTGCCGGAATTCGTTCCCGAAATGCCCGCTTTTCCCGCCGTTCCATTTGTTGTTAGTGGTGCATGTGACGTTCCATCGATTCCATTTAAATAAAATGTTACTGGTTGCAAAATATTCCATTTGTTTGCAAAGATGTGCAACTCAACATTTTCCATTCCATTTAAATTCACATTACTGTCGACAAAAAACGTATCGGTTGCAAACACAGTAATTTTCTTCGTTCCTTGTCTCGAATAACCTTGACAATTTGTGAATTCAATGTCAGAACTTTTAACGAAATGTCCTTCAATCGTTGCGATTTGATTGTAACATTGTTGTTTCATTTGTGATTTGACTGTTACGTCAATAATTTCATTGAGTTCCTTGATCTTTGTTGGTGTTGGTGAAAAGTTTACCAAATTATTAAAACTGTGGTGTTGTATAAAATCTTTGAAATTGGCATCCGTAATTAGTAGACCCTGTGGTGCGCCCGAATTTCCCCAATTTGACAAATCGCGGACATTATAAGCACGGACATCCTTTTGAACTTGATACGATGCCAGAAATTTATAAACATCGGATAAAAATGAATACCAATCATGTTCGGTAGAGATAAAATTGATCGCTTTCGATGAATCCAGAATCCAATTTGCATAAGGTATAGTAATCAGTTTAGATTTCGAAAGGTTCACCAAGTCAATGAGAGACAAATGATCCATTTGAGTTTGATTGCATGCGCCGATGTTGATCGATGTTAGATTCAAATTCTGAATCAAGTCAACAAACTGCTTGATCTTTTGATCAAATGTTACTACATTACCGCTTGCTATGGTTTTCTTGCATTCATTTAGAATAGTCAATTTGTTTTGATAACAGCCCGAATTACCTAGTACTGCTTGTAATGCTGCCAATATTTGTTGATCAATGTTTTTTAGTGCAATCAAAATGTTGTCCATGATTTGTTGTGTTTGTATTTGTATTTGATATTCGAAATCGGCTACACATTTTTGATAAAAGTAACCCATTTGATCGAAAAGAGATTTGTAATCGCCGCCTGAATAAATACTTATCATAGCGTCTATATCACTGTCAAGCGATTTCAATTCATTCATATAACTGTCTTCGTCTAATATTTGATTGAGTTCATCAGCTTGAATCGTTTGCAGTCCATTGTCTTTGATCATATCTCTGTATAGGCCCGTGATATTGTTTAGATTAAAAGCATTCGTACTAGAACAATATTCGATTTTCGATTGTCCATTATTGATGAGATTTAATTTTCTTTTAATATCCTGAGTAGATTGAATCGTTTGATTAACTCCATGCTGCACTCGATTATGGATATCTTTCAGTGTTATCGTTCGTGCATCGACTGAAAAATGCATTTTAAAAAAGAAAACGATGCAGAATGTTACCTTTATCATGTTGAATAAATATACATACCTGCTTGCTTCACCATTCCCATGATATGTAATATTACCTCAGCTGACAATTGAAAACTGAAATCTGTCGATTGCTTTGGTGAGTAACTTGTATTCAATATGGTTTCACGTATTAGTATGCGACCCTTTTTAAGTAAATCAATATCATTAAAATTGCCCAATTGTGGTGGTTTCCAAAATATTGCTATTTTTTTATAATTATTGTTGCTATCAATCGCCAACAATGCATTAATCGCCAATATTTTTTCGCTATTGATCAAACTTCCCCTTCCTTCTAATGCGGTACGATGTTCAATCAGATATTCGGCGGTTGTGTTCTTTACACTTTCTTCGGATACCATTAAATTTATCGCATAATGTGGTGGTACTTTTGTAACTACCATTGACAAGCTTTCGCTGTAGTTTGTAATATTTTTGATTAGCTCTGTTGTGCTGTCTAGTAACTTATCCAAGTCGAAATGATTTCTACTTTTTGTCATGGACTCAGCATTCACAACCAAGACAAATTTTATATTTGTAGCACTGTCGATGATACGTTTGATAAATACTGCATTGGCAATTTTAGCCGTTTTATTTCGATTTTCGGAGAAGCTCGGACAATCGTACCACACATTGCTTTGTTCGTCAATCACCATTTCAGGTACAAATGTTCGCGGTTCATTTGTTGATATTTGAGCACCTTTCAATGGGTCTAAATCATCTCGAATTTCGTAATCTGAATTGTTTAAATTTGATGATGGAATTGCACACAATTTGCTCATATCACCGGCCACATAATGAACTAACGTTGATTTTCCGCTATCCGTATTTCCAACGACAATAATTATATCCCGGTGATTTGTTACTTTGAATTTATTCTGTGCATTTTTCAGAAAATCGAATGAATCTTTCACTGATGATGATGATGATGATGAACGACTGGAAACCACTGCCAAAACCGTACATAAAACGAAAAACGAATACGAAATCATGTTGTGTCCGACACTTGGTGAGTTGAACACAAAATACAAAGTGATTTGTTACATCGAGAAGCTCAGCATTTTTATTGGCAATGAATGCACCAAAAATTGTGATAAGAAGATACGACACAAAAATACATTATTTCAATCAAGTTTACCAGCAATAATCGGCCGAAATTAAAAAGCAAGTCAAAACAATAAAAAATAAATAAAATCGTGATAGCATAATCAAAATTTCGATGATTCCATGTGAATTTGATCATTATGGAGGTGGTACGTTTCATGGATTTTAATATTTCATTTAGTGGTGAAAAACGAAACTCGACTTTGACTTAGATCACGATTTTTTTTTCATTTCATGATGCATTAGTCACATTTCTATGGAATCGGCGAATTTGCAATATTTTTTGAGGACCTTTTATGACATCTTTCGTGATTTTTTACGACGATTTTCGGCTTTTTTTATGCCGTTTGTTGTTTGATCCGTTTTTTGATGTTGATCATTTCAAGTAAATGTAAAAGTACAAAAGTCTCTCTATAAATATTTCTCGTTTATTTTGCCGTTTCCAAAGATATCCATATTTGAAAATGCTAGAAAGGTGACATTATGGTTTGAAAACCCAAGAAGAGATGGATGATATTGACCAAAGTGTGTCTTTTCTGCGTTACAGTTTATTTCACTTCATCATGACTATTGTTTTTTTCGCAATATTGAAAGGTCAGTTTTTTTCGCAATACATTGAACTTGATATTATTCAGTAAATTTAATATTCGAATATTTTGACATATGAACTCAAAAATGTCATGCGATAAATTATCTACAAAAAAATAAAAGAAATATTCAAAAACGGTGATTTTAATTCTTATTTCATGTAACTGAATTTTGCTTAATGTATCGTCAAGCTGTAAAATCGTTTTTGGTTTGGTTGTATCACGTATATGCCCAATCCACAAAATGAATATTTTTCTTTTTGGAATTTATATACATCAAGCATTACTTTCAATTGAAAGTTTCAATTAACAGGGAATTTGGTGTTTAGAAAATGTTAGAGTCTTTTCACCATGATAATATATAAATAGTGTAAAATCGTCATTTCTTACTCGAAATTACGTCATATTTTATTCAATTATTCATCTCGTTTAAATCTTGTGTGATTTTTTATTACGTCCAAAATCTTTGTGCTTGTTCACATTGTACGCAAAAACCGGATATTTCGATAAGTATTTCATTGACATTGAATAAAAAAATGTAGCTCAGTTTATTTACATTTTATCGGACGAAATATTATTGTGATTTCATAGGCGAAACAAAAAGAAATGCAATCATATCACCGACAATTTTGGGCGAAATTTTTATCTACTGAATGTACATAAACAAAAGTCATGAGGATAACATATTTAAAACATATCATCGGAAGAATACATTGAAATGAAGTAAAAGCGCTGGTTAGTTAAGCATAAAACATCGTTGCTATTGGAACATTTCTAAAGAAAAGAGGTCAATAACTTCGAAACGTTGATTATTCAATTCAAAAATGCAAAAATATAAACTGCCACCGTTTGAAATTTTGATTTCGTTTTTTATGAATATTGCAGCATTGATATATACGAGTTATCAAGCGTTTTTGTATGGGGAGAGTGAGTGATTTTTTGTTTTACTTTTTTCCAAGCATAATTCATTTATTCGTTTTTACCCATTTTATTTTCGTTTTCGGCATGAATTGATTTTATAGGCATCGCTACTCCAGAGAACGAAGATTTATTTTCTGAAGGTTGGTCGTTTATTGGTCGAAAACGTGATGACTATGACTTCGAATGGGAGTCATTTGTTGGAAACATCAAGAAGTGTATCTTGTGGTACATTTGCCATGTGCTTTTATCGGAAGTCGTTCGTCAACTGAAACCACGTGTAAAATTCTCGTTTTTTATTTTCTTCAGCAAATGTGTATGACATTTAATTGGTGTTTTTTTCTTCTTCAGGGTGTGTGCTTCATTCATGCCGTCGTTGGTATTTTATTCGTGCTATCAAACTTCAAGCCAATTGTATTTGGTGCCATGTTTTTGGTGGTATTTTCGTATTATGTGACAATGTTGGTGGGAAAGCGGTACGTTTGGATGTTAACCATGATTTGGTTGGTGATCTTGAATAATCTCAAGCACGGTGCGTGGAAAGAAGGACTCAGATTATTTCTGAGCGAAAGAGAAATTTATAATGTCGACATTTCAATTGCATGGTTGGTGCTACGAGTGACCAGTTTTTCCATCGACTATTGCAATGCACCGGAACAAATACACGATTCATTTTCAACAATCAACTATTTGGCGTACGCATTTTATTTGCCGATGTATGTGCATGGGCCTCCACTAATCTACGAACGATATGCGAAAATGATACCGAAAAATCGATTTCGTCCCATTAAAGAATTGATGTGTCGACTGAGCGAACTGTTTCTATCACTGCTTCGCATTGGATTTATATACTGTCTAAACGAAATTTGTATGCATTACATCTATGCCACTGTCATTATCTACAATCCCGATGTAATTGCCAAACTATGATTGTTTATTATTATTATTTTTTTGTGTTAAGTAAATTTAATTTGTTTTCCAATTTTACAGCAAATAGCACACATGGATTGCTGGACACTCTACGGATTTGGTTATGCAATGGGCCAATACTTTTGTAACAAGTACATGGTTTTATATGGATTTGGATTGGCTTTGGCCAAATTTGATCGGATCGATGCACAGCGAAAGCCAATGTGTATCGGACGAATTCATTTGTATTCGAAAATGTGGAAGAATTTTGATCGAGGCATTTATGACTTTTTGTTCAAGTAAGACTACATTGCAGATTCAAATATTACAATGTATCTTTTCAAAATCTCTTTCTAGGCACATTTATGCAGAATTATGTACCAAAACATCGTCGGTGCCACGAAAATTGGTTGCTAGTTGTGTATCGTTTGCATTTATTTATCTTTGGCATGGATTTCACACCGGATTTTTACTTGGCTGGGTGCTCATGAATTTGACATTTTTATACATCGAGCAATTGGGAAGACATATCGCACAGAGTGAAACGTACAACAGAGTTTTGAAACCGATTGGCAGCAATAATATACAACGATTGAACACAGCACTGGGCGCTCAATTGACTATCGTCACAACGATTTTAAATATTACGTTTATCGGTGGGTTAAGCGTTGGCAAATGGATTGTGACCCACGTTTATTTTACTGGCGGTTTCTTGAATTATATTATTATAAGCATCACCGCATATAATGTCTTTCAAGTATCAGCTTTCATATTCAAATGCGAAAAAATGACAAGAAATTAGATTAAATTTTGTATACAATTGCATTAGTGTGTATTAAAAAGAATAAAATCTTCTGTGAATTCATTGGAAAATTAAAATTTGTTACAACAAACAACAATAACAAGTATAAGAATATTTATAGCAATGATGTCAATTGATATCAATTGATCCGTCAAATTATATTTGTTATCTCAAGCGCAAATTCAAGTACATCATTCAATTTGTTGTTTTAAAATGTAGAATGGTGGATGCCGATATTTCTCCCTCATATTCCTAGTTCGCTAAACCTATACTATGGGAAAAAAAATTAAGCTTCCGGGGACGTTAGTGTGAAATCAAAAGAAATCATAGAAAATCATTATTTTGCGTAATTATATGCAAAAAATGGTCTTTTTCCTTATATTTTGAAGTAGTATACAGTCCTTTTATTGATATGCACATTTTTATAGGACATTTTTTTTTATCTCAATACCATTGTATCACTTAATACTTCTCAATGGGCGATATAATTCAGATCGATAAGCGCATATTTGTAATTATTTGTCAACTAAATTATTGATATTTTTCTTTAAATACGAAAAATATAAACTGGCAGAGAATTTAAAGTAATGAACAGAAAAATGGTGTTAAACTGACACAAGAGACGAGTTAAGATGTTAAATGTGATTGAAAGAAATAAGAACACCAACAAATAATTTACAATCCCATTTTAATAACCATAATTTTTCATACAATTTTACATTGAATTATAGTTTTCAATTAAAAAAAAAATCTTGCTTCCTAGATAAAGATGCAGAGCAGAAGAAATACATGAAGTAAAAAAATATATCTGCGTGATGTCTTTCACTCGAACGGGGAGGAGTGCAAAGGGATCTATTTTCCACTGGGTATTCCCTATTTGACAGAAATTTATTCATTTATTTATTTATTCATACGAAAATTGAGCGATTAAATATCTCACTGGAATCTGTGGAATATTTTTGCCTCTATCTCCTGAGTGGACGCCAAAAAACAAAGAATAGATTAATAAGTATTAATATAATATTTCGAATCAATCAAAAAATTACCTTTTACTCCAGGTGGGCCCTGTGCCCCCTGTACTCCTTTGAGTGCGTTTATAGTAACAAGACGTTGAATAGCAGGAAGTTGTGCTGTATATAGATATGAAAAAAGAAACTCTTTTTAAAAACATTCAACTAGACAGAATCTATTGTACCTTGCCACATGTTCTCAACAATATTCATCATTTCATTCTCGAGCAGTTGCTGATCTGTTTTTCCCTGTTCAAGAAAATAAAATGGTCCCATTCCAAAATCACCCTTTTCACCCTTTACACCTGTTTAGTCAATGGATTTATTCATATTTCAGAGACACCAACACAAATAGAAGCAATTTAAAAGTAATTTGAAATTACAAACCATCTAAACCCTACACGAAAAAAAGAAAAAGAAGTTTTAGTGCGAATATGAACGAAAGACAATTAATTTTCAATCGAAATTGATGGTACTACTTACTGGGGGACCAGGAGAACCCGGAATACCTTAAATGCCAACAAATTTTATATTAAAATATTTATATTTATATATGCAGATTTCATTTCGAATCTTAAACAGTTTTCTGGTAGTTTAATTTGTTTTGATCACCTCCATAAAGTAAAGCTTTTTAGTCGAAACCAAAAAAAATCAAATGATTTCGGGTGATCAAAAGAATCGAAAATCAATACTACTTGAATTGAACGCACGGATCACAACTATAAAAACGAATAGTTTGAAATTCAAAAGAATTTAAATTTTATTTACCCGAATTTCCTGGCATTCCAGCTTGCCCTTGAGAACCTTGCATGGAACGTTTCAGTGCATTTACTTCGCCTAATATTTGCAAAAAAGAAAACCAAAATTTATTCGAAAAAATCGATCAATGTTATTTTGAAATATTTTGATTCTCTACGTGTTATGATCTCTTTGCATAATGCAATGGTGTCGCATTCTTCTGCATTTACTTTGCTTATAAAAAGCAAAAAAAGGCATCCAAACACCATAAATCTGTAAAGAAAAAGAGATAACATTTACTAAATAGTTTAATGGATTTTCTTTTTAATGATATTCACTTAAGTATCATTTTCAAGATTTTTCGCTTCAAATATTCAGTATGCAAAATACTTGCAGTCGTTGCAAAGCAAAAATTCAAACTGTGTATAAAAATGGAATTCGTTCATTTGATATACAAAACAATGAACGAATTATCTTTCATCAAATAGCATTTAAAATATATTTTAACCCACGCATTTATTACGTCATTATTTGTTTGTTTTTTTTTTTTTTTTTTGTGCGTATTACATTCAAATTTCGTATTTTCCAAACATTTTATCAATGTCCGTTTCCTTTTCATTTTGAAAATACCCAATATATGATGAAATGTAGCATGATAATATCGTTATTTGCACTCATTTCTCAAGGGCAACAAATGTCTAGACAGAAGAGTGGAACGTCAAATTTTCGTCAGAAATTTAAATGCAACCAGGCAAGGATGCAAAGCTGATATGAAAACATAAAATATGAAAAATATACATCACGAATGCTAATGACGAAATAAAACGTGGTGCGTGGGTTCATTTTTGATAATACTATTTAATGATAATATAATTCGGGCATTGTTTTGTAAATCTAATGAATCGACTTTCATTTTGTATCACAGTTTGAATTTTTTCTTTGCAACGACTGCAAGTATTTTGCATACTGAATATTTGAAGCGAAAAATCTTGAAAATGATACTTAAGTGAATAACATCCGAAAAAAAATCCATTGAATTATTTAGTAACATTTATATTTTTTCTATCCAGATTAATAGTGTTTGGATTTGGCCTTTCTTTGCTTTTTATAAGCGAGGTGAAATCATGCCGTGACGAGATCGAAAAACATGTAAGAGGTATAGTATCCAAACTTTTTCCTCCATATATACGTTCTTTTTAATTATTATTTCGCTTTTCTTTTAAAAAAAAAATCCAATTAGAAAATATCGCAAAAGAGTATCGAAGTTATGGATCACCAGGACGAGCAGGAGCACCTGGAATTAGCGGAACACCCGGTAAGTTTTCTTTTAAATATTTCGAATTTAAGCTTTCATACAAACATAGAACAATTTTTGCTCTTGGTGTGAAAGACATCATTTACAAGACACTTCAATTGATATGTTTTTCCAATTGATTGCTTTTACTTTAATATTTGTATAAATTATTTAAGGAAATAACGGGTTGCCAGGAGTGCCTGTATGTATTACCATTGATTTTTATTGAAAATTTATTATTGTCTTTCGTTCATATTTGAATTAAAAGATCATTGTGTTTCTTATTCCATAGGGCTGGAAAGGTTTGTTATTCCAATTAGTTTGCATTATTTTTGTTGGTGTAACTGATATATAATAAATGCATGAATTAAACAGGTGCCAAAGGCGAAATGGGACAAGAACAAGTTTGCAATCCGAGCTCAATACGTAATCAAATGAACAACATTGCAAATCAAGCTTTTCAAGGTAAATCTTAATTTATTCAAATTGACAATTTTCAAAACGACTTTTCCATCTCTTTATGCAGCTCAACTTCAACAGTTTCAGCAATTTTTATATAGCATCAAAGGAGACATAGGCGATCAAGGTGTTTCAGGTCCAAAAGGTATAACATTATTGAATTTTATTCATTTGTAGCAGAAAAAAAATGATAATTTATTTGTTTGATTTTCTGTTCATTATGCATTCGCAGGAGAAAGAGGCACGGACATCATGATAAGTAATTTGGTAAGAACACAAGCTATGAATTATTGAACGAAATGAATTTTATAAAGTAAAATATTTTTTTCATTTTTTTCTTTATTTCTATAGAATACCAATGATTTGTTATTTTATAAATGAATGTGACTAAAGCAAAATCCTTTACTGAATGGCAGGTCCATGGGGATAATCAACATTAGCTATGTTACATTATTAGCCGATGCACGAAAACCACACAATTGATTTGAAAGAATTTACAAAAAAATGATCGTCGTGGTTCCAGTGGTCATTTTATGTTTAAAAATACTTCCATTACTTTTTTTGTGAGATTTCAAAAAAAAAAAAAAAAAACAATTTAAAATATGATGTGAAGAATGACTTTTATTGTTTTATTTCATTGATGATACTTCTGCTTTACGTCCTACTCAATATAATCAATAAAATACACTCAAATATCATTTAGTTTTTGTTTTTTCAATCAATTTATTTCAATTGATCACAGTGGTACAGTTTGCACCTAGGTCGACTATTTTGAAAAAGTTCAGTGTCAAAGCACGCGAAAAAGCGCGCTTTAACTCTGAAGTTTTTAAATATTGCCGACCTAGGTGTAAACCAGTAATGTGCGAAGGGGGGGGGTAGGGGGGGGG